CAATACAATCACAATGGAGTCATCCATTTATTTACTACAGTCACGTGATCCAGGTAGAGCGGCACTGCTAGTGCTAACAGTTCTGTTTTTTTCTTGAAAAACCTTAGGTACAATATTCCCCTACCTTAACATTAGATCCTACAGACCGGTTCTATTTAAAGAAGCCAACATCAATTGTTTCGCTATTCAAAAACAAGGCGTGCTTATGGGTGTAACTTTCAAGATTGTGTCGCAAGTATCGTGTTCAGTGAGTGAACTACACAATGTCGAACATAGGCAGCGGATGGACTGAGAAATGCGGCTGATAGTAATCGGAGACTAAGTTGATTTGCAGTTAGTCCACACCGTAATCGTAGGCTTTTTGGCCTCCCTCTGTGGGGTCGTAGCCCAGAGCGTCACCCAAGGAGAAATTCTCGGCAGCACTTTTGTTGGCAATATCGGTTGCTCCCTCTTTTCCTCCAGTCAAGGGCTTCATTTTCATTAAGAAAAGTGCATGAGACAAATTTAGTAATGGTAGCAAAAAGCGCAATGTAGTTAAGTATTAACGGAATTGCCTGTCTCTAAATGCAATTAAAAGTGATATCGAGGTTGATAAACCATGACATCTGCTTAAAGCTCTAAGGAACTTGGCTACTTTTTTCAAATGGCTGTACTTCTAGATTATCCTGGCTATGCAAATGTAGAGCTTCTAAGTATTCTAGCCAAAATTGTTTTGCTAAATGAAAAGTTCTCTAATTTACTCTAACGTATTTATTTAACGACAGCGATAAATCTAAAATTATGTGCATTGATGGAATGCAGACTTATCAAACCTGAATTTCTCCACGGCAAGGTGGATTGCGAAGGAAAAGTAAAAGCGGACTGTAGAGAGCTGAGACAATGGCGATGCCCCATATGGTCCTAAGGTTTGATTAAGTGTAGTTTAATGTATAACAGATATCTTGGTTTGAGCATTTATCACAAAATACGATTTTAAACATGACAATGTAAAACATACCAACTAAATCCAGCTGACTGAGCCACACATCCACCAACAGCGGGACCTAAAACATGCTTCCTTCATTAACAACTCATTAATTCGGCTATGTTTACCTTTCAAGAGTTAACCGCTATTAAAGTGACGAATGTTTCGCTGTGTAGACTACATGAAGTGTTATCAAAATTACAGGCAATTCTGCATTGGTACATTTCCGTCAACCGACCAGGCAACCAATCTTGGTATCTTACGATATGCTGATCGACTAGTTTACGACCTGAAGAGATCTGGCTTACATGGTATTACTTTTGAAATTATGGACCTGGAGCGTCATAGATGATCTATAATTAAAAGTGTGAAATATACATCAGGGTCCCCGTAACGAGGATCGAAAAAGGGGAGTAATTTGCTCAATGGACCAAAAAATTGCACTGCATTTCTTTAAAACCTGTTTGTATCTTGATGCGGAGAAAACTGCGCTGCGTGGTGGCCAATAAGTGAGTGAAGCCCAACTGACTTGTGAGCAATAAACGACTATCCAACCTGCTTGTAAACCCATTAGGCTTAGAGACAGTCCTCTGCCCATTAGTATTCTACATAAACAAGCGGAGATTTACCGAAGGCAAAGCCGAGGCAAAAGGCAACATCTGCGATGGCATAGACGCTTCCATAGACGGCAACATGCCGAAGGTCCACCAGAATCCCCATTTGAGGCATCATGGAGGCATCCACCATCCCTCAAATAACCAAAGGTGAACAATCAGTTTTTTTCCGAGTTTTTTAAAATATTAGATGCAGTTCATTGATGTGTACCTTTAGTATAATACTTTAACCATGTCAGTCTATATTATGGTCTAATAGGGTCTGCTACATTGGTTGGAGGCTGCTCAGGTAAATTAATTAAACGCAATTATTATCCTTACCCATTGACAGGCCAAGCCCGAAATTCGGAACGATAAGGTGTCCCAATCGTTTGCTGAAGGGAATCTATATTTTCGCATTAAAATGCAAGATTTAAATAAAGTTATATTTACTGGCAGTAATAGGAAAGTAGGAAGCTAATGATATCAAATATTCAACAAGAATTTTTAGAGAATGAGGTGATTTTCCCATCAAATATTAAAAATAATTTTGACGAATCTCACAAAGTGTAAGTAACTCCAGTAAAAATTAACAAAGCAGTACGATATTCCCAATTAATGATATATAGCTGCAGGGACCTTCATGTGTGATTTTGATGCAGGTGAAAAAAAGTGCAAGACGCACACAGAGAAGGCAAATGCTGCAAAGAATCATCCCTATAAACGCGCTTAGCCAGTGTCCGATTCGATGGGCCACTATTCCGAAGATATTTGTTCCTAGCAAGTAGGAGACGCTTGCCGGCAGAAATGCAATCCCTTGAGCCCAGTTATCGGCATTCATGTGCTCCTTCATCCACATCGGCAATGCCGGTTCGAGGATGGCGATGCCAATGTTGCCAAATGTAAGAGCACCTAAGTGGGAAAATGTTCAGATTTCACAACTCAGGCTACTGCAAAATACTCAGTAGGACGTGGTACACTCGAATGGTACCTGCTGCCACAAGAATGTACGGATCTCGCAGTAATTTCACAATTGGAGCACCACGTTCCTGCTCTGGATGAACCGACGGTTTCAATATCACTATCTGAAGGACTGAAGAAGATGTGAAGAGTGTTGGTTGCAAGTTAATAATTTCGCTTTTGTGTAGATCATTATGCGCCCTGCCCAAGGCAAGTACAGTACAATTCAAGTGTCCAAAGCTTTATTTTTATTTATTTGAACAAGTTACCTCCATCCAGCAATGCAAGTACAGCTAGCATTAAAAAGGGCGCCCTTTTATCAACAAACTGATAGACGATGCCTCCGAAAGTTGGACCCACTGAAAGGGAAAGCATTAGCAAAGTATTGGAGCAAAGTGCATTTCACATGAAATGTAAACCATTGGTGCATTATGTATAGCTTTTATAGAGCACATAACAACAATGAGCTTACCTCTTTATGTATACTATTGCACAGTGTATTGACGCTTGGTGAACAAATTTTGTAATATGCATTCAGTTTTGGTGTAAATTATTAATTGTACACAACAATGGTGTTAGGAGGACCTCTCCCTAGGTAAGCAGAGCCTCTTCAACAACCAACCAGTAACTTACTCACTCATATGATTAAGTAGGTGGGGTCGCTTTTAAAACTATTTTGGCAAAAAAAGTTCCATTTTATTTAAAAAGTAGTGTGCAAAAGACCATACCTAAGACACCGAGCGCTAGACCACTGAGCGCAGTTCCGAACGCTCGTGTTCGTTCCTTTGAATCCGTGTAGAAGGTCGCGATCGTTCCCATACCTAGAAAATAATACTTCACTTATTCAACAAAACTACCCTTTATAACTTTCAGAAGCATAAACTATTGCTATTCCTATTTTTGGCTTATTTAATTGAGTTACATTAATCCTAATTAGACAGTAGGACTTTGAAAATTTGTAAAGGTCTAAACCAGAAATACCTGAGACGCTCGAACACGCAGAGCCCGCACCCTGCATGGCTCGTGCTATGAGAAGGATGGTGTACGATTCGCCAAATGCAAATACTAAAGTAATGTTGAAAACCGAAGGGGAATCATCAGCATTTGCAAACAGGATGAATTCCGTTTGACAAACGCACGTGCAAAGTTGTCTTTTACATTAATGTCTTCCTATCTACTTAATCCTCCTACAACCTTTTAAACCTTAAAATGGAATTTTGGGCAAGACAACATACACGAGGCCCTAATATACATACCTCGGCTTTTACACAAGCCACTCACAACAAATTTACCGTTGACGGGAAAAAATTAATGTAGTATTTAAAGAAACATTTGAAAATGATGATGGCTTATATGACTGCTGGAAGTACAATGCATTTGAGAACCTGGACTTGGTTGTAAGAATTTCTTCTGGGTGGCGGTAGTTGGTTAAAAATCTGCACTTTTATTTCGAATGCTATGTAGAATAATGAGGCTCAATGAAGCTCACCAAGTATTAGGGTAACTTGACTTTTCGTGGTAGGTCAGTTAGTGATATTAGAACTGATGCCCTCACCAGTTATATGCTCCCCTTAGAAGGGTGGTAAGAAACTTTGCATAAATGCACAACACTGTGTATGTCTGCCATTGTGATTTGTGTGCTTCAAATATGGTGTAAATTAAAAGGAAGAAAAGCAAAAAACTGGCTTGTAACTGGCACCTCCAATCCTTCAAGTGACCTTCAGTAATTATACCGATTCCGTGCATTAAGGGGTCAGCGATATAAAGTAACTGTAGGCTGCCTGCTTGTGTCGCTCACATTAGTGTATTTGAAGCTAAAGTATAAAATGGTAAGCTTTATATCAAGCCCAATGGATGGCTCTTTATAATTCTGGAAGCATTCTCGAAATCGCTTGTAGCTCTCGGCTACATTTTATTGAATTAAGCACGTTAAATTCATGACGAAATACTTTTATTTGCGTAAGGTTTTAACTTTCATTACTCGAATGAGGGACTGGTTAATGTGTTTACTTACCGATTGTGGAGGCGAACATAATGAGAAATCCTGTAAACATAGGAATTGAATAACCGATTCTAAAAGGGAAGCAAATGGGGGGTTAGGGTACTAAAAAACTGCTTGAACACCATGAATTTAATACCACAGTGTACAATAAAACTCAAAAGGAGTATTATAACAAGAACGCCATTTGAACCCACGTTACAAATACTATTCGAAATTTTACTCATTAACTGATTGCTAAACGGATGTACTGTCGGCTGAGTGGACCATAGCATTCTACGCAGTTTTGAAGACATGTTTACAAATGCTTGTCATCTAGCCAACCAGCAGCCCTATTAGCACATTTTCTGGTTTAATCCTATCAAAATCTGTGGCTTTATACAAGACACTTAAGTAGAGGTGACATTTACCAGCTTAATTTAATATGTAATTTCGTAGGAGAAGCAGGATTGATATGGTTTGCGAAGAATAAAGTTAGCGAAATTGTTAATCTGCAAGTTATTAATTACCTGTTTTACCCAAATCAAGACGACTAGCAACATTGACCAAACATCATTTTGGTGTTCCCTTTAGGTCCAAGTTTGGTAATCGTTTGATGCAGACATTTGCCTTTACAAGGCGAAGCTGCAGTTTTGGCACCAAAAGGTAGTTTCGATTGCGGTTGGGGAGAAAGAAATGCTAATGCCCTATGGGTGAAAATGGCCTAATCGTGCCTCTCACTGATTTCCCCATCGTTTGCCAGATGGATGGTTTCTGAAATCTATGAAATCCTCATGAAATCTCATTATGTTTAACAAATACTACTAGTGGCTTTCTTGTATTTCGATCTAAGAACTGCTTAATGATAGGAAGAAAGTTGGTAAAAGATATCATGATTGAAAAAAGGCATTCAACTGCAGATACAACCATTAAGCACCTTCTTAAATCTTATAACTTTGCTACGTTAGCTTAGGTAAGTCAGATTAAAATATTTTAAAATTTTAGATTAGAAGCTAACGCAAATGTTGACAAATACTTTTGGAAGAGATTTCATATTCCTAGATTTCTCGTTTTCTATAATCAAGCTTTAGTAGATTCCTTTGAAGTATGACCAGTTCTTGCATAAAAGAGGCTTAGTAATGATAAGCCAGGAAGGCAAAACCCACCTATTAGTGAGGGGTCCGACAAAGGGATTAACAACGAGTTGGACGATGGATTTGGATGCAAAGAGCATGCCAACTCGAAAATTTTCTCTTTCCATGTGCGCTTGACGCATTTGGATTGTAAGTTTGGTGACGTTGAGGTTGCAGTCCGAGGCCAGAGTGTCGATGCGATCGAGAAGTTTCTGCACACGTCTTTTTTCCTCTTTGGAGGCCCTGGAAGGGTCCAGAAAGTCGTCCATCGATAGGACGACGTGCGCCCGACTCGCCCACGCCACCGGAACCAAGCTTAGCACGGCCTCCGAGAGGGTGCTCTTCAGTAACGCCTTCGACGTGCAGTTGTACGTGGTGGTGTCGAGAATCGTATTCACCAGGTGACGCGCCTTCGTTGTCAGCAGGAAACTCGGGATTATCGGAACTAGTAGGAATGTGGCAGCTATTTAACTGGATAGCCTTTAGTCACTTCATTACTTCCAAAAGGTATTATTTGTGCCTTTATAGTATGCCTTATATCAGTATGGTGAGAGGTATGCTCATGAAAATTTTCAAGCATAAAATGTGACCCGAATATATGAGTAACAGAATTTGGCTACTTGCCAACCGTTGTGAGCAGCATGTTGTCAAGAAATAGAGCTATGGTGACGATTATCAACACGAGTCCTCGACGTGAGAAGACGCCTCGGAGACATTCATAAAATCTGCTAGTCCAAGTCGCTTCGTCTTGTTTTGGCAAATGTTCCATTTTAGTTACTCCTCGAATTGAAATTTCCCGTAAAATGTGGATGTAGGTAGCTGTAGAGGAAAAGATGTTACAGTGCTGTAAATTTTTTAAAAGGGAAATACAGACCTCCATTTTCGATGGTATAAAACCGAAAAAAATTGGTAGGGTCTTAATATGGTTGATTTTTAAGCTACACGTCTAATATTACATCGGAAGACTGTCAAACACATTTCCGTGCATTTGTGCCATGTAGCTCACGGTAAAACGGTATGATGTATTATCATTAAGACGCTCTTAATGGTGTATTGTTTGTTTCTGGAAAAGCTATTTCCGGATGGATTATCGTAACAGGGGCAGATGTTAATCCTTGGATAATTCAGTATAAAATCCCTTCTTGAATGTAGCGGATTAATACATGTTAATGGATGTACCGCAAGATTGGCCGCCAATGCAATTCGGTTACAGTCAAGCGTTACATTTGTAAGCGCTTATTTTCTTCTTAGTTGCCAGCATGAAACGAACTACCAAGCATAAGCCCTAGCTAGCATCGGCGTTGAAACGGTTCCACTTCATCAACATGGCGCGTTAGTGCACACCGCATAGGTCCGGCGAAATCTTATGCAGCCTTTGAATGCTGCAAAGGACGTAGGCCTCGTATGCTATTGAGGCGTTTCACATACTTTGGATGACTGTTTAGGAAATAGTTTTATTTCGTCGGTGTTTAATGCAACAATTTTAATGCGGAAGCAGTGGTAAATTATTTTCAGTTTGGTGGGTTTTAAGACTGGCTAAGCTTTCATTGAATTTAAGGTATGAACAAAGTGAAAACAGTGGCAGACTTTACAGATCGCATGAACTTACTAGTACGAATAGCAGGTCGCTAATGCATTGCATGACGTGAGGGTTTTTAAATAAATAAAGGAACTAATTTAGTTCAAAGTCAAAACGCCTACAGGAACTCCAAAATAGGCGAAATGATGGTGAATTTCCAAGTTTTAATCTTCTCAAAGTGTTTATGTTCGCTTACACAAATCACATACAGCAAAAACACAAAGATTTTGTCGGGAATTTTATTCCAAGATGACATTTAGATGCGCTGGCACATACAAGGTGGGATGTTAATTATAATTTCTACTTAATTTCTCTGAGAAGTAAACTCTTGATGCAAGATCTGGTGTCTTTTGGCGATGACAGTCTATTGGTAAGGAAGATGGCACAATTATATGTAGGTAGGCTACGTTTCACTTTGGGGACGATAAAGTGATACAAAGCCTATGAGTTTCAAATAAGATTTCACAGATTGGCGTTACGATTCTACACAATTTTAGACTAATTGCAAAAAAATAAGCTTCAACTGAGGATGGCGGCTGTAAATCAAAGACGTCTGGTCGTAGATACATGATGAGTGCAAAAAATCTGGTCGACATTTTATTAGCAAGTATTGACAATTTATTCATTAACAGCATTTGGAATTAGGGTCATTCGACGAAATTCAGAAGTAATGCAAACAGCCCCATTTAATAAATAATTGTATCTTGACTAACCTCGATATCGTCTGGCGCAATAATGCTCGATTTTTGAAGCCTCAAGGGAGAAGCCAGCAATTGTGTCCACCCATTGGATAGTTCGCTACCAATACGGAAGACTGATTCCTGCTGGCGGGATATTAAACGACTTGCAAAATCAACGTACTTTAGCGTAATCAGTAAAAAATGTATTGCTTTCGCCGATTACCACAAGCCCGCTGCTTCGTCGACACTCATATGCTAGGAATTGCATTTTTACAGCATCAACTCAAAAATAAAATGACTATAATAACTAAGTATATAAAAGATTTAATAAAGTCAAAGTATTTGGCCTAAAATGAGTTATGGAGCGCTGCATGTATCAATTTCTATTGCATAAAATCATTGTGGGAAAACTATCCCCCTCAAAATGGAATGCTTTTCACTAAGGCAAAGTGCCAATGTTGCAATGAACGCAGAATAGAGTCTACCTTTGTCTCACTGAAAAGCGCTCAAAGCAATCAAAACAAGTAGACAAGATGCCTTCTCAATGTGCGCTTTATTTAGACGTGATTTCCTTCTTAATTAAAGAAAGGTCGATTTTAAACGGAAACTCGGGGAAATTCCCAAGAGTACCTTTCTCCCGAAACACTGATACACATTATTTAAATGTTAATGTGCTCTCCAATATCTACAAGTGTCACCATATAAATAGGATGCCTAATGAAGATACTTAAACTATAATTTCCTGAAATACTGACCAGGTATACTGATGGTGCAGTTAAGGGCCAGCTTTGTTACTGGATCTGTTCCCATAGCCACGCAGACTTCATTAGTAAGTCGTGTTAGCATTTACCGACCTGAACACTGTCCAGAACTTGGTTTCACATCATTCATTTATCCTGCCAATTTTTAGCATGGTTTGGAAGTCGCAACAGTTTTAATTCCTAAAACTAGTATTACACCGTTTTTACATGACAATAAAGTCATGACACTCGTTAAAATAACTCCTTTAATTGCTATTTTATAATACTATTATACATAAGCGAGTATGGGCGAGTTGTGTTTGGTCGGTTTCACACCAAATTTCTGCTTCCGTCACAGAGCAAATTTTGACTCTTCCCGGCCTGAGTCGCAACTTACCGTCTGTCCTGTATCGCTGCATTGTGATTTTTTCATATAGGAAAAGGGTACGGATCCTACAAATGCAGGCGTACAAGGTTTTAGTGCTTTTTCATAACTAAGCGGCTTCACTTAAAGCTTGACGATTTCGGACGTTATTTGGAAGTCACATAAGAGCCTAACTCATTAATTTCCTAGAAGAATCAGTGAAAGCTGTCAAAGCCAGATATTTATTGGGAGCACATTTTGATAAACCATAGTAGTTTACGAAATAAAGATACCCCTGGGACCATATAGGTTATTTAGAAGAAAATTATGATTGACGAATTGGCAGCAATGAGATGTGCTAAGGGAAATTGTGAAGGCGGTAACTACAACATGCTATGAAAGCGTGAGGTAGAGTGCTCGTTCGTTCGTGTACACCAGCCCACTCACTCCTTCGACTGATATCCACCATTGTAGTCGAACGGCGGGTGGGCAGAGCGGTGAACGCGGTGCAAGAGAGACGACAGATTGGCGCCAGCGCACAGCTGCTAGGAGCAGCGACGAGATTGCCCAATTGATAATATTAAAATATCTGGCTAGATTGAGATGTTTTGTTGAGAGTTTGTGCGTCAGTCTTTGCACCAGAACCACCTGGCCCTACCAAACAACTAAGTTATATTTTCCCTCCTAGAAGCTAATCCACTTTCCCGATGCTCCTGTCAGTACTTGATAGCTGTATCAGATATTCGCATAGAGAACTGTCGGGCTCCCATTCATCGTGAATAGAAGGGTGCCTATTACTACATGCTTAACTAAAATTAAATCCATTTGATTAATGGAAATTAAATGCCTAATACTTTTCGATAAGCGGGTCAAATGTAACCTCTGTTGTTTAAAAGAATGCACACATTTATGTATATTTATGTTTATAATTCGAGAATTTGTGCACATTTATGCGTTTTTCATTTGTGGCATTAAAGAATTCAATTTTAGTTACTAGTAGCCTAAAAATTTTCCTTCTTTACGCTGCCTGATTGGACTCATTATTGAATGTCGTAGGGTTGCATAAAGTCGTTCCTATTTTTACAGGGTTATGGACTTCTTCCACAGAAACCATCTAAGGTTTTTTGATTTACATTATCTTAACCCGACAGCTCGTTATCTTATCTATTGATGGGATTTACGAGTCTCTGACAAGCAAGAACACCAAATGGTAGGCATGGTTTTCGCAGCATCATTTCTTTTCTTTTTTCAGTAAACCAATACATTTAAAAAGTAACCCCACTTTTCAAATTCTTTATTAAGTCAGATTAATGGCGACTAAAGATACTCCCGAAAATCAGCTGGACCTCTTGGCTTACGATTCACTGATTTAGAGGCTGGTAGTCTTTAGTGGATTTGCTTAGATAAATTAACAGTAATTCTTATCATATTTTGATTTAACCAAATGGTTGCTGTTTGCGGTAATGGTAGGGGTGATTCTAAATCTTGTTAGTGGGGGAGCCTCTGGCTGTCAATGCTTACTGGATGCGAGAAAGAAGTGAAAAATAAAAGCGCGCGCAATGCAGTAACTTATATGAACTTAAGTGGAATACTCTAACGAATCCTTTTATGGGACAATTAGCCCACCAAATTGTGCCGGACAAGCCAAGCATAATTTTATGCCCTGGTTTTTGAAAATTTTAATTAAACCATATTAGTACCTATCTAAACTCTGCAACCATGAAAATACGCATGCGCGCATACATGCGAATATCTAGCCAATGGTATTCGAGCGTACAGGCTCCCCCATCCACTACTGTGAAATGTGAACCAATGGAATTCGGATGCATAATCGCCCGTTCACCACTTTACATTTGCTTCTCTGACGCGTCGAAATGCAGGTGAGATCATTGTCATCAATGAATTTAGGCATCTTAAGTGGTTCATATGATGCCTTGTAGTTTAACTTCAGCAATCTAAACCAATCTTATTGAATTAAATTAAGTACTTAAGCTCCTGCCATTTGACTGTTTATTTTACAGCGCCAAGACTGTTTTAAGAACTTCTCATCATGTACGATTTGGAGGCTTAGCAAAAGTCGGATCCCCTGATCTTATTTCCCAATCTAAGTTTTAGTTAATCCTTTTAAATATACAATCTTTAATTCAAGCACAAAAGATGAGGCTAAAGATATATTGCTCCTTTTCACATGTATTTTAAAGTATAAACTACTCACAAGGTTTTTGAATGTTTATTTGTCATTTTGATGAAAAACACGAGTTGTCGCCTTTCAGAACTGTTTCTACACATCCTCAGGGGCAGGTCTTGAGCCGATTCCCCAGGACGAAACGAAGAGCGATCGATTACAATGTAGCAACTTCTACTGGCCACCGCTTTCTACATCTAACTACAATAACTATTCCTACCCTTCGATGCAATCTCAATGGGGAGCTGATGAAAAGTCGAGCATTCAACATTTACGTCAGTGGGATCAGACCCAGGAAACTATATCGCTTCACAACAGTGTGTCCATCCCTCCCATGCCTCTTCCACAGTCGAGCAGCTCCCTTCCAGATAGCGATCTTGAACTCTTTGCTGAGCACTTCAAGCAGCGTCGAATGAAGCTGGGTGCTACACAGGCAGACGTGGGCAAAGCCCTCGGTGCTATGATGATTCCTGGAGTTGAGAGTCTCTCACAATCCACCATCTGCCGGTTCGAGTCTCTCACTCTCTCCCGCACTAACATGATCGCCCTCCGCCCACTGCTCCAAATCTGGCTGGACAGGGCGGAGACTTTGGGAGTAGCCAACGGGGGCTCACAAGGGCCTGAGGTGTCCGTCTTCTCTGCACAAAACCCTGCCGTTCTGCAGCAGGGTCGACGAAAAAGGACCTGCATCACCGATAGTGAGCGCAGAGCTCTGGAGGCGTACTTTGCAGTACAGCCACAGCCCTCCAGTGAGAGGGTTGCCCAGATCGCCTCACTTCTAGGTCTACCGAAAAGCGTTGTGCGTGTGTGGTTTTGCAATCAAAGGCAAAAGCAAAAACGGCTCAAATGCGGCTTCGAGAATGCGCGATCAAGATGTGTTGTTGACGCTAAGACAGACGTGGATTACTTTAGTAGGTAGTCATTTATACTTTATACCCCAATGAAACATCTTTTTCTAGTTTGTGTTTTCTTCATTTTCTTCTTCCATGACAAAGTCCAATAACTAAGATCACCTTACTTATAGCGAAACTGGGAATAACTAGCATTAACTACTAAGCCTGTGAATGTAGGTGTGCCAGACCCACTATTCAGTAAGCACAGACAATATACTCAGTGCTTAGATTACATTATCATCTGAATGAACAAATGTTTATGCCCTCCTCATCAGTAGAATAGCACCACAGAAGCTCTTGGAAATAGTTCGAGTGCTACAAACGCTTGACACATTGGTAATACTATCAATTGCCAAAAAACGGGAATTGGAGAAAAGAAATTAGCATCAAACAGTCACTCACATCGGACGAAGGAATTAGTTTAAACAAATTAATCAGTCAGTCTACTAACCAAGGATTCTGAAGGCATACCGGCTACTACCTGATTTAATCTAACCATTTCATTCTGATACCATGACGGAGGGACCGATATTTCATTAAACAGCTCTGTGCTGATACACAAATCTAACGTATGAATCCCATATTTACAGCTTGCTCTCAAATTAGCAACTTCTTCCTCCAGCTTTTAAATAAAGTAACTTGAATGATTACAGGATGTTCAAGATCTGGCTCCAGCAGCATCTATAAATTAGCTGAAAAGGCAATAAATAGCCCTTGGTATAACCCAGGAGTGCTAATATGGGTGTTTCAGGCGTAACTCATCCGAGACTATCCCATTTCAATTAGAACTATTTTCCTCCAAAGTCATGTGAACGCACCTACTCCGGCAAAATAAACGTTAAAGCGCACCCAACTGGCACGTTATAACTCTCAAGTAGTAAAACTGGTGAATACAATGAGGCTATAATTCCCAATTTTTGGGTATTAGAGCAAGTAAATAAATCATATTTGTGCAATCAATATAAAATTTAAAAACAAAATCCTCTAAGTTGTTAGTTCCAAGCTGCTTTGTTTTGGCCCTTCCAGCGGCAGCCAAAAAGCGTCGCATTCACTGGTGCCGTCAGCAGGATTTTTGGTCCCAAACCATCACTACAGTACCCTAATTCCTGCTTTGTAACAATTCAAAGCTATAAAATCAAAATTATCAGCTAGTTGATGTGTCTCGTGGAATTTCTCTAAAGTACATCAGAAGAGCAGCAAAAAAAACGAGTTTCGCAAGAATATCGACACGCAGCAATGTCCCAGACCTCTGAGATTGAAAAAAAGGTTATGCGTAGCTAGGTGTGATAATAAAGTTCTCTCAGTGTAAAATAACCTTGGAGCCAGAATAAATGAGATAACAAAACATTTTGGCCTTAAATTTCCTTTAGAGCAAAGTGCACGAGTTTGACGACATACACTGGCGGAGACTCAAGTATGTAACAGCTCGCTAACATCCGGACTGCATCAAATGTTAATTTTGAAAAATTCAGTGAATTTCAGAACATAATTACAAAAAACCTGTTAAATCACTGAAAAATGAATTCTTCGGAAAAGTGTTAGGTATAAGATCCAACAGTAAATGCACCGGATGAACGGACGATCCGCCTACCCTTTGATAAATCCACCAAAAGGATGATTAAAGCCCATACGGGTATCCCACTAGAACTGGAGGCAATTCTTATAACTAAGCGGCCGATCGCACTCTTTTTTTGCTGAGAGTCGACCAGTCTCGCAATAGGTCAAAAGTATCAAAATAAAACACGAGACCCAACATTTCAAGAACTAATGAAGGAGCCGACCGATTCCATTTGACCTAAGAACACGTTTTTTTATTTCTGCTGGTCCTCTGCGGCAGAGGAAAGGATTACGAGAGTGGACACCAAGGCACAAAGCAAACCAGCAAAACTGTGTTGTAATGGACTAAGATGGTCGTTATAGTTTATTTTAGCCGGGTAACTGAAAGATTTGAGGCAGGACGGTGAAGCAACGAAAGCAGTTGCGTTTATGCCGGTACTGGCTGTTAAGGCAAGCGGGACTACTGTCAATAATTGAAATGTGCCATCTTTAGCAAAATTCTTTGCCAGTTGGCCTAACGTAGATCGACTAAACTGGGAAAACGTCAATATCTAGGAAGCGGTAATTGCGGCTGTGCTACCTTTGGCGTATTATCAATGCACGTAAAACTAGATCTGGCAATTCAGTCCAACCTTAATCAACATGTTTAATAGACACATTGACTTCAGATTGTAATTAAGAGGCTAAAATGGACTTTATAAGCAGAAGCAGGGTCGTCTACATTTAATGGATGGATTTTACCATCGAAATTAATTTTACTAGGGTTTATTAGGTATTTAAACCCTTGCTGTCGATTAAATATGTAAACATATGCTTAACAATATTCTATACTTCTGATTAAATTAGCCATTTACTCTATCACAGAAGCTGTTGGTAAATTGGTAATATAAAATTACCTGCAATTTACTTGTAAAAAGTGATTAGAAATTACCCGCTTTATTCTTAATAAAATCTTACATTATACCTTTTATTGATTCAGCCACTTTTCTTATTATGCCAGCGATTTAATCGTATTGCATGCCAATACCAGAAAAAGTAACATACAAAGCTAGCTGTCATGTTTTGATGCATTATATGAATGCGGGTTTAGCGACACGGTTGGCGGTCTCCGTAGGTTGTACTTCCCCTCTACGGCGGGCTTTCGGCTAGCACTCATAGCCTCCCAATTCCCATTTATGCTACTCTTGCTTATTGCGTCCTCGTGAAAGACTCAGATCTCCAAATTGGTGGCAACAATAATCAAACTCAATCCAAAAAGACAGAAATCGTGATTTTCGCGGTTAAATTGTAAACTTCAGCTTAACAACGGAATGGTGCCTACCACCGATCGGTGAATCTGTGGTGACGCTTAACAGAAGGGTCAAGAAATGACAAGCACCTTTGCCAATTATACCAATCTCGTGTTCTGCAAGAATCCTATTACCAGCTGAAGCGACATCAGACTTTGATCTTACGTTTCTACTGGCTGAATGGAACAGAAATGAGCACCTGCGCAGCGCTGATTTGAGAGTAAGGTGGCAAAGGGGAGTGGATGGGCAACACTAGCTTAGCGAAACTTCATTATCGCTTGCATTTTGTTAATTGGCTCTGCCTTGAGACTTAGACCAGTTGGTTACCTTTCGACAAGCGATTGGTACACGAGGTATCCTCTTTATAAGGCATAGTCCAGTCTTGAGAAGTATGAACTCAGTGCTTTTCCCCTTCCTCGATATAGTTCACAAATCGAAAGAAATTTTAGGTATAGTGAAGTTGTTGAGTTGCACCAGAGAGTTTTCTCGCTTGCAGAAAATGAACTGACTGGCGTCTCTGGTCCGTGGTGGTTCTTGAGGCTCTGACTACCGTTTGATAATCGACGAAGGTGGTTGACCAAGGGGAGCGCCGTGGACGCCGCTCAAAAGAAGGGCGGACGGAGTGATTTATTACTTTGTTTAGCTGTTGGTTTAACTACACGGACACTTCAGTCGCCGCGGGTTGAGCTTTTGCTCGGCGGTATGGTCTTAGGGCCATGCTAATAGCCTTCTAGTGATGATTTGAAATGGGTCATTTTGCACGTTTAAGCACTGTCAACGCAGTTCCGTTTTGATAAATGTACTCCCGTCCCCTTTCCATAAAGTACCTAAAAACCGCGATACCGTAGTTATTATTAATTTCAGTTAATTTGGTATCCGAAGGCTAAATGGAATTCACACAATCTCGACAACCGCACAAAGTAGAACCACCTCTTACTGCAGACGCTTTTTGGTTACCCCGCAAATAAAATTTTGCAGCTTCATTATGTCATTCAGGTCGCAATCGGTGCAGCCGAACTTTCACCGCTGTGGGGAATAAGTGAGGCATGGCGGTTTTTCGTACCTATTTAGCACACACCATATGTAAGTGTAGAGACGTTATTTTCTAATAAACCACGCAATTAACCTTCACAAGAAAATGTATTTAACAAGGTTGTGGAACTAGAGCCTTTCATATTATAATGACTTGTTGCGAACTCGGGAAAATCTTGTGGCTCTACACTAACGAACAAGATATGTTTTCTAATGCCGGTTGATTTTTTGTTAGTACTTTCCATTGCAAAAGTTCTTCCTATGTTTCCGTTTCAAACGTTAAAATAAATTGCTTTGTGTCCGGGCGTTAGGTTTTATTATCTAGGAGGTTGCCTGTGTGAAGCAGTTGGTAATTTGAATCACCTCAACTCATGATGCGCAATGTATTGTAAGCATATAACCAGCACTTTGCACTATAATTTCGCATAATTTGTTTTGATTTTTCTTCTATTTCATAACAAAATTACGCAAAGCACGAGCCGATGTTCAAGAGGCTTTGATCAGCATGCAATACGGTTACTTTTTCAGCAAACTTGGCAATATAGCTGTGAGAGATAGCGGTATTTTTCTATCCTTTAGCTCTTACACACGCACAACTGTGTTATTGCCTATCAAATATTTATTAATATTTGTATGCCTATTTAAAGGCCACTTTTAATTGATTGAATGTCTTGGAGAGGGATGTAATGCGAACATGCGCGTTGCCTAAGCGATCTCTCTCGGCATTTGAATGCAACTGTTCTCGTAATAAACCTGAAGTACAGGGGATTGGTCAGTATTGTAAATTTTGCCTTGTATATAAAATTAAATCCGACTTTTTTTTGCAAAGTTAGATGCTGCTGACGACAGTTTTCATTAGTTTTGACATTAAATATGCTTTTCCGGTTCAGCCGTTGGATGACTTTCCATATTGCCGGCTCGCAATAAACGGGGAATCCTGTTGAGCATATTCTCTTGATGGGTTTTCTTAAAATCCAGATCATGGATTCGAAACGAAAAAGTGATTCCATGAGTTTGTAATGGCTGCATTCATTGGATGAAACAGTGAGGTCTGATAGCAGTAGAAACTATTAGCATTCTTTAAGTCCTTTTCAGTTAATAACATACCAGTTATGGGTTTGAGTTTATTTACTGGAGAATTCGGTGTCAACTGTCACATATGTCGGGTAATGAAGTAATTGTAATAGCTCTAAAAGGGCTCTTAGAACAGCGGTGTACGATATGTTATGAACTGGAAAGAAAATTAGAAGAATTTTAAGTTGACCAGCATTTGGTAATAAAAGCCACTACCTTCGAGAAAAGCAGCCCGCGGTGAAGTATTCAAATACACCATAATTGAATATAAACACACGAGGGCGTCTCAAGAAAAAGGCCTTCTTGAGGCGCGGTGGTGAAACATTTTGTGAGCTTTGATTTCCAGAGCTTGGTTCTAAAACAAGGCATCGTATTCCTACACTGGTAGCGTAATTTAGTGTACAACGCGCGATCTCCTCCTTGAGGTGCCATTTGGTCATTCTGATCACTTTCATAGAGAAAATGGGGTGGTTTCTGTTAAAAATGTACTGATAACTTGGAGTCACGCCCTTATTGAAAAACTTACGTAATTGATATGTCACGCTGGCTCCGGTTAGCCAGCGCCTAGTAGCATCAGCAAATTGAAGATCTTTGTTATGCAAAGCCTCTTCATAACTCACTTCGCATTGTAACTCAGCAGTGCGAGCATGAGAATAGCGCGTTTTTAATGCCAACTAACCTCATGACAAGGTTAAGTCACCACATTAACCACGTTTTAAACGGATTTTTCATTATACCCAAGTGCAGTTCAAATTCTGCTACCCATGAGCCTGCTTAAACCAACGAAAGTTGAACCCTCATTCAAAGCTTGCTTTCATCAATTACAGTTTATCCCTATCTTTTAAACAGTCTTGAATAAACTTATGTAAAGTATTTTAAAAGATGCCCAAGAAGTTCTACTCCCATAATGGGGAATTGGTCTCGAAAGGATGAGCATGTGGCAAAAATGCTCAGTTAGGGAACAGCCGGGAAAAGCAAATTTGCGTTTGAAATTCACCATGTTCTCGGTAAAAATAATGAAATGCTCGGATATGGCTGTGCTGCCAGTAATACGGAGTGCTTGACCCACAAGTCAGTGATTAATAGGGAAGACGGTCAACACTGACTGTTTTGACTCATTCCAATTCTCTCTGCCTCCTAAATGTCACATCTTTGACTATTGAAATGTTCCAGCATCAAAGAAGTGCATCAATCTTTTATTCATTACATCGTCACCACGTTCCGATGAAGCTTTTCCATGACAAAGCGCCTTATTGAAAGATCCAGACTTTACTGAAATAGGCACTATGTCGCTAATGAGAAGTGACTTGATATTAGTTACAAAAATATTAAAAATCATCCAAGGAGTTGTACTGGATAATTATTCATAAGTACTAGATTGCGGCCGGTGAACATCATGAATAAGAAAGTTTCTTACCAGTGGTAGTGTATAAATAGCCTACTTATCTCACTTTCCCACCTTTGTGTTGCATAATAAGTAATCTTTAGTATCAAAATGGAAATGCGAGTGCCAATTTTTCAATTTACCACTGTTTTAATGATATTTTTATCACAAAGTCAGGCTTTGGCTACTACATTACCTGTATGGACCACTGTTGGATGTTGATGAAAATCTTATGGACAGTTTTCGAACTCATAAGTGAAAATTGGGATAAAGACAAACCAGATGCACGTCACGCATCCTACTAAGCACCATAAAGCAACGCCATCCATCTACTGGTATGTTACTTACTTTGCCTAACCCCACTTCTGAAATAAGATGATCTTCGCTTTCTTGGGTCATATTTTGGATGCAAAATCTGACTAGTACATTTAATTGTGCAAGTGAAATTAATCGTAATCGCGATACGTACTCTCAAATAATATTGTGCTTTTTAAGACGATAATATGGGATTCATGTAATGGGAAATGCATCTAAAAAGCAATGAATAGCCAATGGGCTGGGGTAGGAAATAGGCCTCTGCTTATATTTATTTCGGCCGAATAATAATCACTTGCGATTAAGTAGAATTTCAGATGCGTCGGTAAGGAAACCAGTGACGCAAAGTTCTACCCACTTTTCAACTAAGGTACAATGTGTGCTAGGCAGTTCAAAATCCTTGAGTATTTACGCCAGTTGATTGAAATTTCTGTGATTTGAAATAAATATGCCAGGAATAAAGGAAGGCTTACATGGATTTATTTAACAGTCACTACAGTGCTGTGGTACTATTATAGTTAGGAACTTTAATTCAACCATAGCTTCAATTCAAAATTTGTAACTCAGTAATGGCTTTAAAAGAACCTTTTCTCATTGCAATCGAGTCATGGAAATAACCGGAACATTGTCACAATTCAGTGAACCTACCAAATATGGCTTTTTTAAATGTTCAGACACAATATTGTAATGATTTGGTCATTTGTCTAACTCTTCGTTTTCCTTTGTGGGTTCCACCTTTGTGCTTCCCTTTGGTGACATTGTCTTCAGATCATGCCGGTAGTCCACCTCCAGATCTTCTGCATGTCTAGAGTACATATTCTCCCTGAATATTACGTCTTCTTTCGTCTTCAGGGAAGTCTCGTTGCCCTAAAATACTGAAGTAACTTATTTTTATTTTTTCCAGCGTTTTTAAAGTTGGATCTGCCATTTCTGTACTGTTTTATTTATTTTCTCATAGAAAATCGGAGCAAGTCATTTCCTTTGTCAGGCCTAAGGAACGCGTTAGGTCTCGTAACTATGTGCCAACTCCTCAATCAAAATTACTTAAGAAGAAGTGTGTCGAGGACTGATTTTCTTGCTACTAAGACGCTTCAGACGGGTGTTCTTTGAAACTCGAAATATTTTCCTCCCTTATGCATCAGTGGGATTCCAATTACTATGTGTTTCGCTTTGTTTGCTGTTGTTGTGTAAAAATTGTTTGCGGAGTGAGTTGGCAGGATATGTTAGCCTAACGCCGACACCCTTTTACGCTTTCACGCAGACGCTGCATTGCGTATTCGTTATTACTTCACAGCAAGCAATTGCCAAATATATGCGCTTTTGCCAGACTATTTTCCATTCAAAGTTGCTTTTTTATATAAAGAAAAATGTCATATCCCTTGGACTGGGTAGGAGCATAAAAGTTGCTGATTCTCAAAATCAGCAAAGTGTTTAAAATGGCAAGTTCAGGCTCGCCAATCCAAGTGCCCATAACAGGGGTGGGAAAACTAACTGGTAACATAGTGGAGTAAGCAGTGTTAAACACATTCACCTGTAATTTAGTTTCGTCAAAGATATCATATTAGTCGCGGCTGGATAAGCTTCAGAAGCGGGGCGTAAATTCAACTTCCTTCTTCTTGTCTCAGCTTGAAGAAAGAAATTTCAGTCTTGACTTGGCTTTTGTGACCGTTTTATGCAGACCAGCAGAAGATTAACCACAACAGAGATCACAACGCTCTTTTCTTATACGTTTGAAAAGGAGTTTATGTTTAATCCCTTTTGAAACATTCTTTAATGGATGAATACCACCGGATTTTTATTGAAATACACCAAAATTACAAATTATTATCCAACAAATATTACATTTACTCCACATATTTTGCGCATTTTGTATAAAAGCAATCAAAGTTCTGAATTTGGTCAATTTATAAGGACGACAAGAGATCTAGTCTTTGTTTGTTTAGCATTGCAGCTGTCTCGGCGTCGCAGTTGAGAAGGGATTTCGAAATGGTATCGGATGCCATTTTCTCACGAATCATCTATCAAGCGAAAAAGACATGGTCACATTATCAGCCATCTTAAAATGTATGCTTATACAATTCCATCATTTTAATTGAACTTCGCCTCCAACACGGAAATTCCGTTTAACAGCGTGCCCTCGTGCGCGTTTCACGGGGTCGAAACTTGAGGTATGGAAACATGTCCGACAAGAAACTAAGAGTGGAAGGCGTCAACTTGGAAGTCAGCGCAATATAAAGGTAAATTTCTTTAATTCCCCAAATGGTTTAGCCAATTATACGTCTCAATATCGAACAAATATTAGGCATATACAATTAAGTTGCACCTTCGCAGTTCTAGCCTCTATTACGCACCTATGCAATTTATTCCCGAACGGTTCTGCTTTTAATTTCAGTTGCTTTAAGAGTAGAATCCTATTTTACTCGCTGGTAAGCATTATACAATAGCACAGGTTGCAGAAAATACCATTGTTTAACAGTCTACGGAATCGCGGTATCGAAATTTTGCCAAATCATCCGATTAAAGGAAAAGAATAACTGGAGTATTATGCTCTATGATAGATTACATTAAGTTGCATTCATAATGCTATTCAAGATTGGTAAAAGTATGGCCTATGAGAGACATTAAGAGTACATTTATGGACCCATTTATCTTAACATCAAACGATACGGGAATTTAGGGCTTAACTTTACTAGCATGGGTTTTCATTCACGGTCGATTTCGTACATAAAACATCATGGAGCATGATTATAAGTGGACGAATATTACATGAAATTACAGAACTAACAAAATAGGGTTGCGTAAGAAATATTTATCTCACTGGAGTTTCGATTTTTCATTAGGAACTAATGTTACATGCCAATTGAAAATAGATGCAGATGCTACCTGCAAGCCATTTTGCTAATCTCGACAGTACTAAGGCGCGCATGCAGGCAAATCGAATTCGTCTTTAGCCGGAGACCGGAAGCAATAACAACCTGCGCTATTTTACCCGATTACTAGAAAAGTATGCCATCCATTCTACCGTCATTTCACATAATTTTCTGCATTTTTTGCCCTTATTTATGTTTCAACTTTTACACAAATGGAAATCCTCATAAATACTTACACGTGTCGTATCATCACGTTCCCTCCGTCCGTTGACGATCTGTGCAAAACACGTTTTGGAGGACAACTCCACTCCGCGTCTCTTTAGCACTTTCTTTTCATACGGCTGGAGGAGCATCAGAACTACCTTTTGGGGATCTCGTTTGATTTCTTGCACCACTCCATCATAAGTCATGGAGCCTGCGGGAGGTAAATAGTTCCTAGTTGAAAAATGAAGTTCTTACTCGTCAGATGACCGTTCACTTCAATAACACAGTCATTTGCCATGATTCCAGCAGCCTCCGCGGGCAGGCCAGCCTCCACAGACTTGATGCAGAATTCCTTCTTCGATTTGTCTTCCCTCAAAACAAATCCATATCCATTGGTACTCTGCCACCTGTACAGATGTACAATTCGAGCACTTGGAAGGGACTCCATTAACGCTGTAGCGGAACTTTGCAGTAGTCGTGTATTCAACATTAATGCATTTTATATTGATGCATACCCAATTGGCATTGGTAAGTTAGGGATGTGTGAGAGGAGAGGTAGGCGTGCAATTGGCGGCAAACCACTCAAAGATGGGGCTGTGGTTGGCGTGCCTTCTGCGGCAGTTTGAAATTGATCGAATAGCACTGCCACACTCATCCACACCCTCCACTTTAAAGCAGTTATTGCTCCGAGTCACTCAGACGATAAGCAAAAGAATGCTGCTTCTTTGATTTAGATTTTTTTCTTAGAAATGCTCTCACCATAGTACTAGTAAAGATACTCCCACCCACGACCGGTGTTTAAACGGACTGCACTATTAGTAAATAGAAGCCAAAAGCTTGTCTTGTTACCCTGCATCGATTACACCGAGTCAGAATTGGCAAGGCCCATCTAAACACGTGCAAACCATGCAGAATTTGGATGACTGTACTTACTGTACTTTCAATGCAAGTAGTGTGTTAGCTGATGATCGAAAATACTGATGCTGCTTATACCAACAAAACTGAGCGTAGTATTAGCGTATCAGCTATACACACTGAAATGGGTCATTTCGCACGTTTAAGCATTGTCAACGCAGTGGGGAATAAGTGAGGCATGATACCTATTTAGCAAGCACTTTATGTAAGGCGAAAACGTCCTTCTCCAAGAAATGATTAAAGAAGTTTGTGAAAGTGGGACCAAAGACCAGAGTACTTTCTTCAAGTAGAAAATGGTAGAAAGGACAGATGAGAAGCGCCCTAGTTAAGACCTTGAATTTACGCGTTTTTGAGTGGATTAACGATGTGAAGCCACACTCAACAATCATTCACTTGAACTGAGTAACTATATTACTGGGGCATTCTAAGCATAGGCATTGAGCAATTCATTTAGGTCGACTTCTGACTTTTTACATTGAGATTGATTGTTGCTGCCACCAATTTGGCGTTCTGAGTCTTTCGTGAGGACACGACAATCCAGAATAGCACAAAGGAGGACTGGGAGACTATCAGCGCCGTCCGAAGTTCAACCTACGGAGACCAAACACCCTTGTAGCTAAACACACAGTCGATTACAATAACATGGAATGACAATGGTTTGATTCTGTCATTTTACATATTCGCTAACATCTTGAGTTTTACTAATTGTACTCGGTAAGGCCTACTGCAATATCCGGTTGACATTAGTTTCTTCCATTTGCTGAAAAAATGTACTGCTATTTTTTACACTGCTCTTAAAAACTTGATGTAGCGAAAATGGTATTGCTTGAGAATATTTTTGAAATAGTGCTTTCCTAATCAATAGGCGCATATTATCACTACCCTTTTTATTTCGTGTAATTGCTTTGTTTTGCATAAAAACCAAATTATTTAAAATATCGGGCTTATTTCCACCAATTTTCTATATATTATTGCATGTGATGGCAACCAAATAACGGCGTATTTTGATGACAATGGCTCTAATAAATAAGTGACCAATGGAAAGTTGCGGCTCGCCACCATTATTATCTGTTTGTGAAAACTTGGATTTTCGATTTGCAAAATCAGTTTTCCACAGTTAATAATCTGTGTACTAGGTGTTCAACCTCTGCAAGTGCTGCCGTGCTATTTAATTCTTGATTTTTGCATTTAGCTTTGTTTTCTGTTGAGACGTCAATGATTTAGTTCTGTCGAAATGCCTGGTAGCAATTGCGGTGGAAGCGCCACAAGCAACATAACAAAATATCCCAGCCGTGGACGAAACTCAAATTCATCGCCTAAGTCCCATCAGATGGAATACGAACTAAGCAAAGATGGTGAACTTGTGCCGGTCCCCAGTGGGTCGAATGTCCTCTACGAGCGAGATGGACAAAAAGATAATGAAGGAGCCCCTGTGCATAACCCCAACTGCGATGATAAAATGTCGCCTGAAATTTCTGTTACTGCGTCAAGAAGTAAACGCAAGCAGACTTTTGAACGAAAAAACATTAAGTATGTACCTTGACTCCATGGCCAATTGTATGTATCGTTACAGTGCGTGACGTCTTTTGATCTCTTTAAAGGCCATAATTCGTTTTCCCATTTCGTCCTTTTGGTTCATTTGTTCTCCACAGGCTAGTTTCGTCTTTGGGTTTTCCATTATAGAGGCTACTTTGTAAGCGTTTCTGCCTTGGGGTGGAAGAAGCCTTTGATCTGTATAGACTTTGTGAGAGTTATCAGTTAAGTATTTTGCAAAATTATGCTTTTCAGACGTGTACGTGAGGAGAATACTCTTAGTGAAGAGGCTCAGTCTGCTCAGAAAGCGGAAATGGAGCGACGACTTAGGCTTCAAATGGAATATCAGGCACAGCTTCCGAAGTCGAATAATTCTGATCTTTGGTCTCCAATGTCCAATATTTCCACCGATCAACCGACTCCTTCGCTTCCTTGCCCTGAGGGTTAGTCAATTCAACTTTGTTCACGTTGCTTTTAAAATTATTTGCTGAATTATCTCCGTTTCCGGGCTGTTTTGTGACTGTGTAGTATGATGTGACTTCTGTGAAAACATTTTGTTATTTTTCCTGCATCAAACGCGTCGGAAGTCCAAAAACTTCTATGCGTCAGACCTTCTGCCTAATCACTTTCATTTTTATCCCAAATTATGCTAGTTGTGGGCAGCTATTTGGTGGCATTATTTATGAAATCACATCATGCTGAAATTAGTTGTTTCCATCTCAGCCTTTCTTGCCGCCGAACTCTAGGCCTTAAAAGTTTTAATTGTCTTGAAATACTTCATTTGCAGCTATACAAATGAAGCCTAAACTAGGCAAAGATGTGAAATCGTACGACAAACCCGTTTTTGATAAGTTGATCTCAAAAACAAGTGCTTTGCAAACAGCCTCAACTGCATCCGAAAAACTGTTCAAACAGAAACAACTTCAAGCCCTTCAAACGGGTGATACTGAGGAGACAGCAATTGTTTTGCTCGGTGACTCCGACGATGAAATCGAGCTTCCTATTAATGATGCTGAAATAAAAATTACGGTAAGCTTGTAACAGTCTTTTTGGTTTTTTTTATGTATTTTGCAACCTCTAGCTTTTCCCTACCTGACGCATATTTTTTGCGGGTATCGAGTAAACATCAATATTTTTATTTAATATTCCCAGACTGAATGGATACATTCCTTAGACTTATGTATTATACAAAGTTCTTAATCCTGCCAGGTTCTTACGTTACCCACATCCATTTTTCTCAAATTTTTCGTCTCCATTGCACTCAGGAGTCAATCCATCACATTGCGGAAAATTTCACTTTGTCAAATATTTGACCACTGTGATTGGATTAGTTCCTAGCTTTCAGTTTTTTGACATCACTTTGCTCATAAAAGGAAGGCTCAATTGTTTGTGTGTAGAACAATCAGGTAATTGAACTGAGTGATGACGACGATCTCGACGTGGTGGGAGATTATGGTAATGATGGTGATAACAGGGAAGAAGATGAAGTGCAAGCGGAGTTTTGTGAGCTCCGTGATGCTGAAAACTTACCCGACACCGAGGGCCGCATTTGCATCCGCCGTGGCTCTACGACAGCCGAGTCCTTCTACCTCGCTCCACACATCGCCCGTGTTATCAAGCCTCACCAGGTAACGCCTTTGCCTTCTTTTGAAACGACATTGTCTTTTAATACCTTTTAGGAGATCCCTTAATAAAGCCCTTCGATGTGGCTGTAGACCTAATTTAATTTGCTTTGTGTAATCCAGTTGAAATTATAATTTCCTTAGGCTGGTTTTTAGTTTGTTTTGGTTGGCAGATACTCTATAAACGGATTATTTGGACTTGTTGCTTGTAAAATTCGTCCGCTCTATTTGCTGATAAAAGCTTGAGCTACCGAAGTTTGTATTTGGAAGTAAAAAGGAGTGAATTCAGTTGCTATTTCCCGAACTGAAGTCCGATGCGAATTTTTTCGTATCGTAGCTGAAGCGTGTTGGTGTTTTTGGTACGGCAATTTACTTTAGTATCCGAGTCCAATTTTTTTATGACCTGATACAGATAACCATGTTTGAAATTTGATTTGGAATTGCATTACTTAAATTGATACACTTGCAGTCGTGTGTGCATATTTTCGTTAGATCATACAGTAAACAAGTCTGTAGCCGACGCTGTACGCTCTATTCTCGCGTTTGAATTGCGTTAACTTTTGTGAATATGAATGGCCATATTTATAGTTAAATGGCAATTTTGAATGCCTACTGAAACCTATCATCTGAGACAGTCACTTCCTGGTCATTTAACGCCTACTGAACTGCTAATAATGCTATTGAATCGAAGCGTGATCTGGTTTCTTGAAGTTTAGCGCATCTCATCCTTACGTAAGCGGTGCCTACGTACTTTCGAAAATTGTAAATGATTATCTACTAATTAAAAGGTGCTTTTTTCCCCTCGTTTTCTCTTTGTTTTCGCTGCTGTATCCATTACTGAGGTGCAATCACATCGCTGTTGGTGCTTTTACTATTGCTGTCCTGCAAGATTGGCTTGATAATCTGGCTCTAAGTTACCTCTCTGCCTTTGTGTAATTACTGCACCATCGGAACCCCAACGGATCGAAGAAACGGTTTGATTTGTTTTGCTGTCTAATTTCACTTTCTTTCGTCCTGCACTCAAGCGAGCAAGAATAAGTTGGTCTCTTGAACTAGATCTTAAACGTAACAACACAGTCGTTATGTTCTGCTGGTATGAGAAACTTATTAATTTGGTTTTATATCATGTAGCGTTTTGTATCGTTTTTATCCAGGGTTTAAAACAATATTAATGTTAAATGAGCATTATTGTTGTCTGGGTAACCGCAGGAATTATCATAAATATTCTCTCTTTTCAATCTGGTGTAAAATAGGAAATCTGCATGTTTTTTAATCACTCATGCCGGATTAAATTGCGTTGATGTTATTTTCCATAACTTACCATCCATGCTCATCATTAGAATCCTTTACTTTTGTAAATCGCCTGATTTCACGGTCGTTTATATCCCTAAAATGACTATCAACATGCAGATGCATAGTCGTTTTTCAAAGTAGTTGTTGCAGTTGTCTGATTTCATTATCGAGGCCTCTTTAAGCCACAATCATTTGGTAGCATGCAAGTGCTACTTTTGAAAGAGTGATTAAAAGCCAGAAGAAGAATGCTAGTTATGGACTTGTACAACTTTAATATTATTGAGATTAAATGTTCGTTACGAGGTATGCACTGGTAATCCATATGAACAGTCCACCCTGGCGAGCCAATATTTCTGCTACTTTTCTTCTCAGTTTAGATGTTTTTGGTTCTAAATTCCTTGTTTAGCTCGAATCACACTTTTTTGTTCCCTTATTCATCAATGCTTTTGCAGTTATTTATAGTAATCATTTTTATATTTTTCGTGCTTTCTCTAGCCTTAATTCGCCTTTTCACTGTTTCCCACCTTAAAGACTACTTAATTATAAGCAGTAGAGTGGCTTCAATACGCATACAGATTTTGCATTAAATTTTTAGTTGTTTAGTAATGCGCTTGTTATGTGACTATCTATTCAAAGCTCTGGACATCAGATCTAATTGGGTGTTTCGGGGTGTAATGTCTAATTTAAGTTTGGGCGTCACGTTAGGGTATAGCACGCTTGTTCTTGCACAAGAGGGTCGCGAGGTCAAAGTATTTGTTTAACAGGATCACGTTCGTTCCATCGTGCAAATGCGTATCCATTTCTTGTCCTTCCTTGGTGCTCTAAGTTTTTCTGTTTCCCTTCCATTTTAGTTTAGTACGGCTTATTCGATGTTTGGTTTTGGGCTAATGCTCTCAATAATGCAAGCTAAATATACGAATTTATAAATTTCAATTCACTAGCTAGGCCTTAACCTGTTACGAAGTCGGTGTTTTCCTCCTCACAGTCAAAAATGACGTGATGATTAAAATAAAATTGACAAAAACCATTCTTCCCCAGGTGAGCGGTGTGCGGTTCCTGTTCGACAATCTGGTGGAGGATCAGACGCAATTTGAGCGCAATTCCGGGTTTGGTTGTATTCTGGCGCATTCTATGGGCCTAGGCAAGTCCATCCAAGTGATCGCTTTCCTCGATCTCATCTTCCGCTACTGCCGTCCTCCCCCTCGCACGGTCCTCCTCATCGTTCCCATCAATACCCTCCAGGTCACCTCCTCTCTTTCATGCTTTCTTATGATTGTTTTGGTCATATTGGATGTTTGCAATCGCTACCCCAATCCATGCCAATTAGCCGTAATACAAGTATCGTTAATATGTTCCCCCTTGGAGAGGGGCCAATAATTTCAGTTATTTTATAATTCAAGGTACTTTAACTGAGAAAATGAAACTAAATTTGTTTACGTCTATTCTGTTCACATTGAATTTTGTATTCGAAACCATCTTTAATGTGAGAAGAAAACCGAAGGCTCTGATCGTATGGCATAATTTGATCAACGTCGGCTGTATGTTAATGCTGTTTTTTTTTTGCATTTCAGAATTGGCAAACAGAGTTCCAAACGTGGCTTCCATCTGTCCTCTACCCTACTGATGAGGAGAAGCCAAAAATAAATGGCCATCAATCCATTTCTGCCACCGACTTCAATGTTCCCACCACAGTGACTGCAGTGACGTCGCACCAGCTGCCTCCTATTGCACATTCGGAGCCCTCTCTCCTCTCTCTCATCAATGACTCTCCTCCTCCGCCTCCCCCCTCGAATCTCTCTGGGGTAGAACAAAGTGAGATGAGGGTTGCGACTGGTGAACCGCAATTCCCACCTCCTCCACCTTCTACATCGCCACTCGTAGAGCAATCAAAAGCCGAAGAGGCGGTCCCGGAAGCTCCATCTTTCCGGTTACATGTGATCAAGGATACTACCAAATCTCTTGATGCTCGGTATCAGGTATTGTTGACCTCTATCGAAATTCAGTGACGGTACATTTTTCCGTCCTCAAGCACGGTTTAGGCACAGTTTCTAGGTTGCTGTTTTAAACTCTATTGATATAGATTTACATTACTTTCTCAATGCAAAGTGGGATCAGAAACGTTTTAATCACGGCATTTTGAAGCAATCTTTCTGGATTAGATTTCGCAACTGCCTCTTCAACAGTTTGTTGAATAGAACTAAGGTGTTTTCGTCATGGTTAATAATAAAGGCCCTTGATGCTACTGGGATGATATAAGATGATATTTCTGTAATTAACTACCAGGTGGTTTCAGAATGGGCCCAAGTTGGAGGCGTCCTTCTCATGGGTTATGAGATGTTTCGACTACTAACAAATCCACGGAAGCAGAACCGAGTAAACAGTGTTTCTAGTGGGAGTCCCTTTGTCTACAGCGGCGGCATCCCAATAAACGGCTCCACGAGCGCCCTCTTCTCGCCTTCAAGCCTATTACCTGACTACGAAAAGCCCTCTAGCAGGAAGAGAAAACGCCCAATCACCATTGACGTTGAGAAGGAGGAAAAGGAGGAACATATGCTTTCTGGTAAGTTGGCCCCAAGTTCTTTGTCTGAATTCATTATTCCTCTCAATACCTTTCAAATGTTTGTTCCTATGTAAAAGATTCTTGAGGTGTATCGGTGATTGTGTGTCGGTCACTTTTAGATATGCGTATTGCCTTGACTGATCCTGGTCCTCAAATTGTTATTTGTGATGAGGGCCACCGCATCAAGAACAGTGAGGCGTCGATTTCCAGGGCTTTAAAAGCTCTTCGAACCCAGTAAGCCGACGAATTCACCGATTTTCTGCGTTCCTTGTTGTAATTTTGGTCCTATAAATTCTTACTCTTGTGCCCTTATTCCCGCAGTCACTGGTGCTACTTTCGTAATTGCTAGTTACGTTTACCCAAAATGATATTTAAATCTTATGCTCAGCAAAAAGCGAAGTGGTTTAGTGTAGCGTAGACTACAAATTGTCGTTGTCTATAATTCGAACTAAACTATCCTTAATGTTAAAATATGGAAGTTGCGACTATTGTGTGATTTTGTTTCGCAGGCGTCGGGTGGTGCTAACAGGGTATCCATTGCAGAACAACTTAATGGAGTACTGGTGCATGGTGGATTTCGTGCGTCCCAACTATCTGGGCACGAAAGCCGAATTTACCAACATGTTTCAGCGTCCCATTGAGAATGGACAGTGTGTGGACAGTACAGAGGCAGATCGAAAACTAATGCAGGGTCGTGCCCATGTGCTACATGAACTTCTCTCCGGTTTTGTTCAACGTCGGTCTCACGCAGTTCTTAAGGCGAGCCTTCCCCCGAAGCAGGAGATCGTTTTGATGGTTCGAATGTCTCCGCTACAACGACGTCTTTACACTGCCCTCATGAATCACATCTCTAACTCCTCCAATATGTACGGCACCGTCCTACCTCCAGCCAATACATTGCAAACCTACGCATTGTGCTGCAAGGTGAGCTACTTTCGTGTTCTCATGTACTTTGTAGCTCTCGGTTTTGCAGAGGAAATGTCAGTTTCAATTTTCTGCTTTTACATATGTGAGCTTTTAATAAATTGCCATTAAATTGTTCATTACCCCTATATGCTCGTAATAGAGCAATATTGCATCTGTGTTCTTGATAGTAAGTCAAGTTTAACTTTTTAATCGACACTTGACGTAGATTTGGAACCATCCCGACGTATTGTGGCGGGTGGTCAAGGAGAACGTGGACGAAATGATGGACTTTGAGCTGGATGACGCATCAAACACAGCAAATGGAGGTACAAACCAGCGGACAAAGCGAAAAGTTAACGGGAGTAACCCAGTGGTGCGGCTTTACTTTTGCAATTTTGTTCACTCATTTCTTAACCCGTATGGAAGAGCGAATTCAATGTCATTTTTTTGAAATGAGTCCTCTTCTAAGGTTACTTAATTTTAAGTTTAAGTGGGATTACTACTCAGCTGAAGTTATTCCCCTTCTCTCAATAGGTTTCTGGTGGGAGCTCGACCATCGATGATAAGTACGCATGGGTAACTAACGATCTCTGGGGTGTTGACTTCAGGGCTGGTGATGTTCGCAACAGTGGGAAGCTAATCCTGTTTCTTTCCCTCCTTTGGGAGAGTGTTCGTATGGGCGATAAAATGCTCCTCTTCTCTCAATCTTTGATGACGTTGGATCTCATTGAGCGTCTTCTGGGTCGACTCCCTCTGGATTCAGAGAGGCCACCTTCGCCATCACAATCGCAGACGTCTCAGGAACAGCTACATCAACAGCAATTGGAGGAGGAGGAAGAAACAGAGAAAACTGTACACTATCGCTTTAACCGTCGAATGGGAAATGATCCATCTAAGCAGCCTCAGGTGTGGGTTAGAAATGTGCATTACTTCCGTAAGTAGAGTACCTCCATTTTATTTCTTGCTTTTCCGCCTCGTGTATTCCTCTGCATTGGTTTATGCAGGGCTGGATGGAAGCACATCTGCCACTGATCGGGATCGTCTTATTCGGCGTTTCAATGATCCTACCAATTTGGTCAGGCTATTTCTTGTTTCAACAAGGTAATTTATTGGAATCATCTTAATGCGTTGGGGTTTGTTTATGGTAATTCCGGTTAAACAGAAATGTCATTCATTTGAAGAATGGTGTGATATTAATGATCGACTGAACAGGTACAACTTCAATATTCAATTCAATTGTACCTGTGTAGAGCCGGTTCCCTTGGAGTGAATCTTGTCGGCGCTAACCGGGTTGTGGTATTTGATGCTTCGTGGAATCCTTGTCACGACTGTCAAGCTGTATGTCGTGTCTATCGTTACGGACAGGAGAAACCCTGCTACATCTACCGCCTTGTCTCCGACAACACAATGGAACGCAAAATATACGACCGTCAGGTGAGATGTTAGGAATCGTTTTCAACTTTGGAATCCATTTTAATCATTGTTGTGGTGCTGTCACTCATGCTTTGTATAGTTTAATTAGTAGTCGTTTGTTACGTGAGTTTCATTTCACTCCAGGTAAACAAACAAGGTGTGTCGGATCGTGTTGTTGATGAAATGAACCCGGGACAGCAGTTCACACGAGCTCAAGTGGGAATTCTGACAGCCTATGAGGATAAGGAAATGCCTTCACTCTCTGATGAGGATTTGCAGTCTATATCCGAGCTCACGAGTGGCGATTTCGTTCTAAAGGCAACTTTGGAGCGCAATAGGGAGTGGATTACAACGGTAAAGCCACTGTTTCGTGTTCCTATATTTTACGAATTGCCCCATGACAAAAAGTTGTTTTAGTCTACTACGATCGCATTGTTAAACGTATGTATGTGGACACTGAATTGTACTTATTTAAAACCACCTCTCGCACATATTTGAAAGCCCGAAATTTATTAAATTATTGCCATTTACGAGATAATTAGGTGATTGACGTAAAAAACTGCTATAAACACTCTGACTTAGTTTTTTTTCTTTCATTTTATTTAATGTTAAGGGATGTCTGGTAGTGGAATAATCAAGTACTTCTTCACCGTCTGTTTACTAACGCCGGTAATGTCGCGACCTTATATGCTGCAGTCAGTGTAATGTGGTTTTAAGGCCAACGCAGTAATCGTACAGACTTACGTAGTGACTTCGTTGAGGATCCTTTATGATGCCTTACTAATTTTTAGAAACAACTTTATTTTATCTGGTACTCTGGACCCCACAAGCGTGTCTCGACGATTATCCAAGTTTGAGCGTCCGTTTTATCCTTTAAAAGTTATAAGACATGCGTATGAAATAAGCCTAGCTTTACCGCCCACCTACGGAAGGGTGGAGATTTGGGGGGGCTATTAGCATACGCGGCAATAAACAGGACATCAAGCTTCTAGCGTTCTAGCTGAATTACGAAAGGTTGAAAAGACACTTATAACCAGACATATAATTGAAGTCACTGTAATGATGCTCCGCAACTAGTGGATTATTGCAATTGGCTTTGTCACCCGACAGAAACCCTTCACTCACGAGTCCCTCTTGATCGATCGGAAGGACTACCGCCTAACGCGTGTTGAGAAGCGTATTGCACGCCAGCGCTATGAGGAGGAGCGCAGGGTCTCCTCCTCTTCCTCCATGTACAGAAGCAGTGCTGCCGCGACCGTCCTCCAGTATCATCAGTACATGATGGCTGCTGCCGCCGCCTCTAATGCCTCCTTTAATCCCTACGGCAATATGTGAGTTATGATCTCTTACTTTAACTGCGATTTTAATTTCCGGCATGCGAATCCAAATAGTCTCGGTTATTTCTCTTACTGTGGTCTGCCGTTGTGTATCTCTATTCTTGTTGTCATCCAAATTCGATCTTCCAGTTCATTCCTTAACTTGACTCTACCACCTCTAATGAATTTCTCATTTTGTACAAGTACTCTGATCGTCATTATTACATCATGTGACATAATTTCACGTGATTCTAGCATCCTTTATACTATATTGTAGTTGCATTTTTGCGCAATTCACTTTGTACTCGACATCTGTCACTTCAGTCTAAACCTCGGTGCTGCTAATGATGCATTTTATGTAACCAAATCGAGGACATAAATCAAAATTCCGTCTAACTTATTACTTTTAGTTATCTTTGCAGAGGCTAAGTATCGGAAAGTGTTATTATTGCCTAGCTTTTGGCCCTATTTGTTGCTAATATCAACTTCATAAAATAATACTGCCTCTTTACACTAAATGGTTGATCAGGCCAGTGAACTTCGCTCCCCCTTCACAACGCGGTACTCCAAACATTCTCTCGAGGAGCACCAACACAATACACCATCAGACCCATCCCATTTTCCCTCCCACACCCTATTCCTTCATACCGCCTGTGATGGATGATTCAGCCGCACGCCGCTACGAGGGCATCCAGCGTAACCGAATGCTACAAAAAGACCTCGACGAGGCTCGTATTCGTGCAGTGTCTCGCGAGATCGGTGAGTCTTTTACTTCACCTATTCCCATTTGAGAGCTAACCTGTAGGGTTAAGTTGTTTTTTCTGTTCTAATGCAGACCTCGAAAGAAAATAATTCTTCAGTTCTATGTCTTTATCATTCCCATGCATATCTTATCTACGTAGTTATTGCGGTTGTTTCACCTTTGCTTTACGTTAATTTTTCTTTAGAAAAAATTAAGGGTTTCAAGTTTTGTATTCTTAATGAGAATTTAAATGATTTAGCAGAGATTGCATAATGTCAATTAGTCACCGACTGCCTTTGATTTTTAAGAAAATGTAAGGACTGTCTTACTCATATCGTAAAAATATTTTCAATTTGCCCTTAAATTTGAGTGTTTTAGCCACTTGCTAGTTCTATATTCACTGGGATTGTGCATTATCAAAGGGTGTTTTTCTTTACATTTCAGGTATTACTCTCCCTAATGGACCCCTAGGAAATGACTATAAAATTACTCGTGTTGCTGCATCAACGGGTGAGTGGAATCATTTCGGTCGTGTGCAGATTGTGTGTAACTACCAATTTCATGGAAACTGCCGTGTATCATTTGAGTTAGTCAGGTAGCTTCTGGTGATTCGATCCAAAATAGAAACTCAAAGATTTATGTAGGAATCTATTCCTGCCAAGGCTTTAAGATTTATTACCTCGATTGCACATGAGCGTAATGGTTTACTATTTGTGAAGCTATTTGAATTGGCCGCGTCTGATTCAAGGTTTTATGTTAGAGTTAACGCTTCTTTGTTATTGAGATGTTTTATGTGCCTTCACAAATTGCTTGGGATAGCGACTCAGAGCTCACTAACATTTCGTGGCAATGTTGTGTTCAAGACCTCATTTTCCCTCAATCTACACATCCACCGGCGCCTGAACGGAGTATCTCCAAGGGCGAAGTAGTGGAGATCATTCAGGCGGGCAACAACGGCAAGTACCTTCGACTGCCTCGCACTGGCGACATCTATGTCGTAAAACCGGCGGCCAAGGAGACGAGTGAATCAAATGATACTCCACAGCAGCAGCAGCAGGCGCCGCAGCAGCATGGAGAAATGCAGACCCAGATTGGGAAGATCACTCAATCTGCCTCGACTTCCCTCCCACTCCCACCTTCGTCCGTCTCGCCTCCCTGTTCGCGGTGTCGACATCCCACCTCAGCGAGCTGTCTCTGCTCCAGCAACCTCTACTCCTTTCCCTCAGTGTTGACTCCTGCTTCTGCTCCGCCCCCTCCTCCTCCCTCGGCAGCCATATACCACCCTCCTACTTACACAAATCAGTATGCTCCGGCGGGGTCCTACGTCCCTCCCACTACGCCCCAAAGCTACCCGAATTACTGATTACCATTTGTATAGATTATGTTGTCTAGCACTTCGTTGCAATTTCTATGTATATCTCCTATCTCTGCATTTATACTACCCCTGTTCATGATGCTGATTAATACTGTGCCTGTAGAAAAAAATATGGAAAGGTGGTGAATCAGTTTCCCTTTTTTCTCTGCATGCCATCCCACCCCGCATGGTTATCCTGTGCGTGCACTTATTATAAACGTGGTGTGATACTGCTGTGAAGTTTGTATGGCTGTAGTGCTAGACAAGGTGATAAGAAGTACCCCTCATTCATTGCATTTGTTTTTTAGCTGAGGTGGTTGTATTTCTTATAAAAACGATGTGCGGTAGCCGAGTGTAACAACCAATCCTTCCAACACCTAGATAATTCCTACCTAGTGAATCAGCTTCTTGTATAAATAAGTGTTAATTGAGCGCATTAGTTGGACGCTTTTTTGCTGGTGGCTGTCTTCACTTACGAAGTGCATTCCTGCACAGCCTTGCGCTAATTCATGAATGCGGGCATTCATTGACATTTGCTACATTTCGACTCAACCTATCAGTCCCTTTGTGCGCACGCCATATTTTTCTACTACTTTTCTGAAAACATCGGCTCGTAATTGTGTGGCTTCTTCAGCTCCTTGCCCTGACATGCCCATGTGTCAGTTAGGCAGCAATTAGTGCTTGTACAACAATAGCTTCTTCATTATTAAATGAGGCCACATCAGGCGCTTATATCAAGCAAACTGTTAGTTGCTTTTATGGTTTACTCAGGTTGTTCGTCCGCTTTGGATTTAGCGTCAGGTAAATTGCTTTCTTGGCCACCCATCGCTCTATATCAGTAAAACCTTGGTACGTTGTTAAATAGACCGTGAATTTAAACGTTTGGGGATCTTTGTGGAGCCATAAGTTGATTTGTACAGTCATTTAGAGCTCCTTTTCTCCATGCGGCGAAAGCGGCGCTGTTATTGTAAGATTTTAAGAGTGAAATGTGCTCTTATCCAAATTAGGAGTTTCAACTTGGAGATACGGAGGGAATTCTTGCATTGGGCAGCTTTAAGATGTTTAAAGCTCAGCAACTATTGTTATTCTACGTAGAATTGGTTCCAGTACTTGTATTTAGTCGCGTACATCAGTATGGCGTAGAACTTTTATAATCATTCCTCAGTGACAAACACGGGACAAAGTACTGTATGACTCCTTGCCTGTTTGATATTCAAGTTTGCTCTTGTGGCAGAATTTACTGGAAAGCTGTGGTGTGGTTGATGTGGGTGATGATGTTGCTTTTATTTTCGATAGCATAATGCCAGCTAAGCAAATCTACGTGCGCTCACACAAAGAGATCGAGGAAAAATTGGAGGAAATATTTGCTAGCAACGGTGGACAAAAGGTGATTCTGCTCCTCGAAGGATCAACCGATATGACCGGTGAAAGCTGGAATAAGGCATGCCAAGAAGGTGAATTTTTTTCAGTTGATATAAAATTGCATGTCTGACACTACATTAAAATAGTACCCGAGGCACGACGTGTCAATTCCCCTACTCAGTATGAATTTCCTTGGGCTGTTTGAAGGTTTTCTACAGTATATCCATTACTGCTTCCTATTCATTATTTAGACTCCACTATGCATTATAAGACTTCCGCTAATTTCTGATGATTGATTACGACTAAATAATGTGGATAGAAGTGGCGCTTTGCTCCAAATAAAGGATGGGCGGATTTCATTGTCAATATGAGTGGTAGTTTATGATTTAATTGTTTATAAACTCTCTGCACTCAACAGATAGCTGAATTTCTCCAGTGTCTACCGCATGATAATAGTGTCTTTCCTCATATTGTACTTTTTGAAGTTCTTTTTTTTTGACAGTTGAGACGTTGTTGGAACCCCTTTTGAATTCCGCTTCCGAGAAAACGGTTTTTTTAATGGCGGAAGTCGGTAATGAGGAAGCGTAAGTTCATCCGTTGCTTAGTGAAATGCATTATTCAGTTGTGAATGATTGGCAGCTGATGAATTTGTGCGTGGATATCTCTTTCATTCCAATTAGGAAGTAGATAGATCAAGGGTGCTTGTTCTAATCAAATCGGCGTTTAGGACATGGTTTAGGCTCTTTTAATTTTGAAAGGATTTGGAGAGTTATGCGTTTTCTTAGTATACAAATACTCAATACTGATGGTATAGTAGCTTGCCATACCTTTTATGATTCAGATAAAATCCTTTGTCCTTTCAGTTTATGCTATTGACTACTAATGCAATACGTTATAAACCAGCTTAGATTTAACTCACCCTTGCGCAACAGCAGGCGCCTTGTCAATAATGCGTTTGCCACATCTATTAGTAGTATTTTAAATGCTTAATTTTAGATGGCGAGATGAAGCTAACTTCTTTAAGAAGCATGCGATCTACAAGCTGACTGCCATTCCAACGCTATTTTCATTCACAGGAGTAAGCCTTATTATGGTCGCATCTCATCGTTGCATTAATACATATTGGCCATTTTCTAAACTGAGGAGTTTTACAAGATTTCTCTTCTCCTACGGCAAAACCGCCGGCAATGCTTATTGGTTTTTCAATGATTTAGCCGGAATCAGTGGCCAAACGCCTTGACGGTCCAGCTTGCCTTGACAAGGACGCGCTGACAGAATTCTTCAAATAATTCTTACCCAAGTGAGCCTTCCACAACTGTGATCGCCTCCTCATTTCTTTCGCCAACGTTTTACCCGCAAGAGATCGTTCGCTCTATTATGCTAATTCCTTTCTGCCTCGAATACTTCCGTGTTTCTTGTCTTTACTGCTTAGAGTATTGCGATGTTAAATTATTTCGGCTCGCTATTTCATTTATGAATCCACAAATAATATCTGAACAATGGGTCATCAACATATTCGGCAAAAGTTGGTGTAAAGATATGAATTCTAGGCTAGAAAAAAATTGATTGCAAAAACTCATCAGCTATTAGCACACTGCGCTTGAAGTGCCGGGGCAGTGCATTCTGAACATTTGGAAAATAAATCGTCTTTTAAAATAAGCACCAACGTTCAAGGAAGGAGATGGTAGTGTACAAGTCTGAGGCTGTGATGGGTCTCTCCTTACGCTAGGCAATTTGGCCTAAGTAATCTGTCGCAAATCAACCTCGACGCCGAATATTGCTTTGTAGACAGTAGAGTAATGCACAACCCTCAGGTGCATATTGTGACTGGAGAGTAGTGCAAAAATCTGAAATAAATTAACTCTGTGCCAGATCAATACTGCCCCAGAAGCTATGGCTGTGGGGGGCGGAACGGCTGAAAGGCGGTGTGCTGTGCTATCGAAACACATATGGGAGTTAGCTTTGGAACAAAAGCCTCATAAATGTCTGAAACAAGCGTTGGAAGTTGACCGTCTGTAGAGCTGCGCTACAGAATTCCAATCAACTTAGCTGCAATTTCCTCAACATTCGCCCTACGCCTTCTCTGAAGATACCTATGAAAAGAAGTTATGGGGGTACACTCAACGTTCCCACGCCGCATCACCAAAGTAGCCCGAACAGAACAACGATGACAACTCATAGTGTTCCTGAATATGGCCCCAATCGAGCCAATTAAATATAAAAAATATGTAGTATAACGTCGCATACTTGATTTTCACAAAGGATTTTACTAACTCACGCAAGTGGAGTCAAATTCTGCAAGAAGTTAGCACTCTTTTTTGATACCAATCGCTGGTGGATCCTAACCACAAATTCACCTAATTAACATAACACACACAAAAAAAAACAACAACTACAGGCATACAAATAAGAATTTATACAGAGGTACAGAATTGTTACAAGCAAAAAATGCAATCATAAACGGATCTAGTCAATCTTTCGTTGTTTGCTTGGTGTATTGCCTGGATTATCATTTGGAGTACATTGCCCATCAGAGACCTGCTCTGAAAGACCGCGCTTCTGATTGCTTTCGTCTGTGGAATCGTTCCGCTGTTGGGAGACATGAGGAGTGGCAGGAGTCCTGTGTTTTGTATTTATGTATGTTATTCGCGGCTGAGAAGATAGTCTATAAGGAACGTAGTTTTTGAAATTTTGTTCGTGAAAAACAGGCAAGTTTTTCAGGCTTTCCAGACCCATGGCGCAACCCAGATATTTACACAGCGCAGTACGATTCACGCAAATGCGTGCAACTCAAATGTGTTACCAATACAATGTCACCATTTGGTCAACATAGATCAAGTAAACTAAAAATGGAATTTATCAAGTCTACCAACTATTTCAAGTCAATTTTAATTTTAAAAGAGACTGCCTCTGAGATCATACTTAAAGCAAATGCCTCTTCTAAGTGCCACTTTAGCAAAATACATCGACAAAGACCAGGTTTCTTTAGGAATCGTCACATGTAAAGTGGTGTTGAGGTAAATTCGCATTATTTAATTTAAATCAACATGCTAAGTCACCTTGGCTTTATCATTTTATGCTTAGAATTGCAAATTGTCCATTGAAATTAAAAAAGCTTGTTTCGCGATGTCTCGAGAACATGTGTATCTAATGAATTACGTCGATCCATTAAATTAAATAGGGTTCCACACGTTCCAAAAATCTTTTTTGCTGAACAGTATCATTAGGCCAAATCGATTGTAAAATATCTCTGTATGTTTATGCAGATGATTAAATGTTTCAGCACTACGAATTCACTCCGAGCGTTGTTTAAATTTACCAGCGGTTTTTTACTTATTTGAGGAGACAAATCGTTCGGGTAAATAGTAGCAGTGGGCGCGTTCATCAGGCCTGTTACTTGCCCTGACATTTTCGACTTTGTTGCCTATGAATCCATGTTTTGCGACAAAACCAAGAAGTCTCATCATATTTTAATTAACTTGGGCAGTAAGTCACATAATTTAGGTCACTACTGAGCTCACCTGATAGTGCCGTGTTCCGTATCGTCCCGTCTCGCCTCCAAATATTTAGTGCCGCATACCATTGTGCAAGAATAGTTGACTACTAGCATGCGAGGTATTTGGAGGTCCATAATGTGAAGTGGGAATTAAAAGTCGCGCGGGCAGAATGTTACAGATCTCTCTTTTGGGGCTGACGCTTACTCTCAACATTCTCATACGTCAGCTATCATAAGGTAGTCATTGCTTGAAGCACAATAGCATTGGATAACTTTTGACAATAGTTTGGTGGTTTTGAGCGTATGCTTGGTCGCTCTTGTTTTGTAATATCCACAGATTGCACTGCAGTTTTTGGCACAGTCATTCGGCAACAGTTAACGATTCTACGCTTTCGGAGATCAATACTGTTGTTAATGGCAGACAAATCTACGTTAAATTGAAAACGTTCGAATTTGATGGCTGGATGTTGAGCTTGAACGTCATTGGTGGTGGCAGGACTTGCTGAGAGTGAGGGGTAGAGATAATTAAACACGATAAGCATTTTTTTCGAATTTCCATGTCTGCGCTAGTTGCTTGGGGTTGGGTCATAAAGCTTATTAACATTTCATGGTAGTGTCGTGTTCAAGACTATTTCTCTCAATTGACACGACCACTGGCGAAGCAGCGGAGGTTATTCAATGAGGTAATAACAGCAGGTACCTTCGAGTGCCTCGCACCGGGGATGTTTATGTTGTAAACCCGGAGCCAAGGAGATGTGTGGGTCGAGTGATACCCACAGCAGCACTGAGGGGTGCAGAACTGGTCGGAGAAGGTTGCTCAAACATTCGCGTCGGCCTTCTTCCAGCCCCACGTTCGTCTGTCCTTCCAAATTTTTTATCCCCTCTTTTTTTCTTAGTAGTTCTTTAGTAATCTATCCGCTTTAATTAATCAGCAACTCCATTTGCGAATATAGTCCGAACTTTGTAGTGTTTGTTTTAAGGTACCTATTTGTTTCTGCGGTTCGTTGAACTTCACTATACCTGTGTTTCGACTACGTTTCTTTTCTTTGGCATTTATCAGGATACCATAAATGCATTGTTGTTGCCAATAATGTTAGGGCGCCCTGCAACAACGACGCATGAGATAAACAATGTTGTCAGTGGTAAAGTTAACATGTAGTTGAGATTATTTTGCTTCGATGAGGGGGCTGAAGCACCTACGAGACGGTGCATGTACTCTTTTTGAACTTATTTTCTGTTTTCTTAGCAATAGCCTTGTCGGTCCATGGGTCTGAAGGTTCAAGCTCATTGACACGACTGATTAGTTCCTTGATGAGTGGTCCGGCCGAATGTCGTGGGAATTCCAGTTGTGCGGTTAGTAGGTTCATTTCACTTTTTAAACCCTCGATTGACCTAGCAACGCGGTCTGAGTCCATTACTAGTCTGGGATTTTAATTTTGTCCCGCCTTGGTCATGTGACTATATTGACGCCAAATAAATGCACAAGGCGTAGGAAATAAACGCGATTTCGGCCTTGGGACCCACAGAATTCTAGATATCTAATAATTTCTTGTGGGTCCAAAAAACGGCCATCGGAAAACAATGTTCATTTGTCAATTGGATTCTAGGTAACTTGCTTGAGATTGCAAAGAAATTAACGCTGCTGTCCTTTAGCTCTTCAGCATAACGGCAATGCATACTCCACGCCAGTAATAAAACTTCTTCCTACTTTAGAAATGACTCAGTGTGGTACAAACCCGGCTCTAAAGAACAAATATACTGGATTCTGTTCCTGAATGCCATACCTTGGTGTTACGTAGGAAATGCCTAAGCTGCGGAGAAGTGAATGCATGATGATTCCGGACTAAAACGTTAGGTGACCTGTGCTAAAAAAATTTAAACGTGTAGAATAGGAAGGAAGTCCTAGTGTTTAAGATTACTGTCAAGCAAAGTTTCCAGACATGTATGGTAAAAATATGCCTGGGCCAGATATTGGCTAACAATTGAATATGTTCGACAAATACTAAAAACATGTAAAAATGTTATTGCTAAACTTTAAAGCACTCAATATCTAACCTGAAATAACCTTTCCTTATTTTTAATTAACAATACTTGTTTAAGTTTACCTTCGCGATTATATACGTTAACGATTACACGCCACCCATTTTCAAATACATGTTATGCGAGTAGTGTACAATGCTGAACCGTCAGTGTATCTGCAAAATTTGTCAATGCGGGTAAGAGGCGCTTTTTTACATATGCTAAGACGTCATAAATGTCCTCATATACATCCGAAAAAGACCACAGACAGTTTCTGTAGTGCCACCGAATATACAGATCGTTACATTGGGCACATCAGCCAGCGACAAAAACCCTTCAAACCACAGTCTGTTGCTATTTCTTCCACAGGACCATTATGCAGTGAAACTACACATAGGTATGTTTATTTTTGACATTTTACACTACCATTTAGCAGAGTAGCAATATTTTGGGAATCAGTGTACTGTATTTGCTCCCTTTCAAAACTTCCACAACATAGTTTTTTGTTGATCCAAACACTGCACTTAAAATTTGAGTATATTTTAAGCTTTTATTCTCCCATTGCAAAGTCTTAGCTCTTTGGACGCCTTAATTTATCAGTTTAGCAATTTTCTTGTGAAATACGCAACGTTACAAGGAAATCAAAACTTACAGCCCTTAGAAACAATACCCCGTATTTTAATTATAAGAATATGTATTTTGACCTCTGCAGCGTGTTTCTGATTTTTTAAATCTTCAGATTTTCTCATCTTGATCATTTGGTGCGTAGCAAGCGTCGTTTTATTGTGCACATTTCTTATACTTGACTTTTCCGAGTTTTTAACCTTACCTTCGGTAAATTTCTGCCTATCGCTTATTTGCCCACGTGTTTCTTACTATAGATGTAAATAAAACTGGCGTTGAAATCTGAATGAAATAATTCTGAGAGTGTTTCTTTTATAGATCTGACTTTATACCACTGCCACTAGAGTCCCGAAAGCCTAGAAATCCTGAACCTGTACACATTTCTGAGGGCAAATTTGAGGACCAAAGTGTGTATAATTTGGAATTTACAGGTCGGATTTTTTTGCCTTAAATGCAAGCAACCTGCTTGACATCACAATGGATGAAACTACTTAGTGACACATTGCACAATTGCTTATATGCTTGTCCAAAACGTATTTTAGAGATAGCATTTTTAAGAATTCTCACTGCTATGAGTTTCTACTTGAGGTTCTCTGTATCAATTTTGGAACATCGATTCAAGATACATGGTTCGCTTTCTATGCTTAAGCCCTGCACAAATTAATGCAAATAAGATAATTTTTTGCCATCAATAATTAGAGTATGGTACGTGCTACATGGCTTCACGACGACACTTGTTGGTATTTCGACGCTTATATTTTGTACGCAAATAATTTACTCATTGGCAAAATTTTCGAAATAGTTTCTTGGAGCTATTTTCCACGACTTAGCAAATTATAGTTGACATACATTGCTTAGTTAAAGTGACCTCGCTTCAGATTGCTTAGCTTTAAACTCCCAAATTCACCAAGTTATCATTGCTTAATCGGCTTAAATGCACTTCATTTAGGAAGGCAGTTACATTGTTTGGTATCTATGGTTGATATGATAGAATACAATGGCATTATTCTTTGTGAAGTAATACTTGGTGTTGGCATTGGCAACCGTAATGCTCAGGCCCCTGACAGCCAGTTAAATACTAAGGGGAAACTGAGTCCATTCCCACAGTTTGCCTATAACGGCTTCTATTTTTAGGTAAAAACCTTTTTCTCTGATTTTATTCCAGAAAAAGGTCTTGTTCGAGTCGATCCAATCAAACCTCAGCAAAGTGAAAGATCTCAGGATAGATTTGTCGGGGAAGCTACTTATGCAGGTAGCGACTTTTACGCAATCATTCCCAAAAGGAGTGGTTATCTTAAGTTAAGGAAATATTCACGTTTGATTTATTGAACTTCTCATAATTGTTTTCGAGATAAGATATCATTATCAGGGTGTGGCTGACTTATGGTTGCAAAATAGCGGTATTTAAAAACTATTAAAGTAATTTATTTTTGCTTGAATAGGAACTTTAAATTGACCAGATAATTGCATCATTAAATAGGTATGTTGATTTGTAAGTGCGTGCATAATTTACCTTGCCTGATGCTTCTCTTCAAGCGGACTACAAAGCATGGGATTTAGAGCCGCATCAGAACTGCGGTCCGAAATACGAATACCGAAAGCCGTCTGTGGATTTTAATGGAGAACCAATCTATACTTCCGATTACGTCGATCATGGTGTTGTAAAGCCTCCGAGCGCTTTTAAGCCGTTGATTCAACCAATCCAGAGTGAACCTTTTGATGCAATAACCACCTTTACGGCGGATTACGTGCCCAAACACGGAGGTAGTGCAAACATACTCATAATTTCTTAGATATCTAGCGACACTCCTGGTATTCGTGAGTTGTTTGACTTCTGCCATTACTTTTAATTAACGCTTTCAGCAGTCGTTTAAACTATTGGAAAAGGCCAGTACTTGTATAATATGAATCTGGGTAAGAATGCTGGTGAAGTAATTTAGCATCAGCAGACATCGTCCGGACATCGGTACTCATGAGTGATACTATGGGGCTTCGAATTTGCCTCCCTTAGATTCAGGTTCAATAAAAACGCAAATTAGTTGAAATGCGTAGTGCACAGCTTAAACTAGGTCTTTTAGTTATGGGCTCCCAACGTACTACTAAGGGTATTCGTCTCAGCACTTTTAACAGGCCAAAGGCTTGCCTTTCCCAAAATTTATTAACAGTAATGTAGCCCTTAGTTGGTAGTTAATAGTTTAATCGGTGCAGTAATTTCAGGTCGTTGATAAACTGTCCTTTAAGAATATTTCGTTGTCTGAACGAATGCTAAACTGAGTTGGCCTGTGTAGATATTTAATAATGAAATAGGTATACAAACACGTTGTGTATTATTGAATGAACCTAAACTCATAAAGACATTTTAGGAGGTTAATTCTGATTTCATTGCCTTCAACTTTAGGTAAACAAAGGCCTTTCCGTCCGAATCACACGACAGTGCACTCTGATTTGCCATTTTCAAATGAAACAACACATCGTGCTGACTACACTGAATGGCCTCTTTCTCAGCAATATCATAGGATTCCTGAGGAGTACAAACCAAACGCTGCCGAATTCGACGGTCGAACCACTTACACAACCAATTACGTTCCTGTGAAGTGTGAAAAAGCTAAAATCATAAAACCAGCTTACCAAAACCTAGATCCAAACAGGGAGTTTTCGGTAGGTGATGCATTGATCATCTACAAAAATAGGCTTCTTTCAATATTGAGGATCATTTATTCCTCTTCATGCACTGAAGTATGCATGCCATGCTAGAATTGGAATCGAGCATTTAAGAATGCAGCACAACACGTCGAGGATTATAAATTGGAGGATTGGAGAACTGAGTAAAGTGGAAGTCATATCTCCTGAGAGAATGGCATTACTCAGTGCATTTACCAGTGACCGATAAATTATTTTAGACAATCATAGCTCAATAAAAATCTGAAGACAAGTCAGTTAGCTGATATGCAACAACTGTAAAGGTATTGCTAACTCTTCTTTTACAAGTTTCTCGCAATGGCATATTACTTCAATTCTAGAACTTTCACTCCAAAACCTTTGACTTATTACCAACAAATGTCGCCTTCAATCTCGGGACGTCAAGTATAATCGTATAACTGCAGTGAATCAAATGACGCCTGTGAATTAGAGATTCTATTTAATATCCAAAACGACGCTAAGTACAATTTAACAGAACTTTTATCTGGTTACATTAAGGATTTGACCAACTACAAAAAGGAGTACCGCAAGTGGTCTCTAAAAGACCGTTCGGCTCCTGCTCGAGGACCTTTAAAATACGTGCCACCCGAGGTGCCCTTCCACGGACAGACGATCTATCAGAACGAATACATTCCCAAACAGCGCGATCCCTGTCCAGTGCTGCAACTTCAATATAATCCTGATGTCGTTTGCGAGGGAGAGGTAAGTTTGAGTCCAAATTGATCTGTCCCGACCATTGAGTAAGTACCAAAGGTGCTGTAAGGCTAACTAAAATGAGAAAGCAAACAGGTCTATCAATGATATGAACCAAGAATTGAAGGTTATACACTACGTTTTTAGTTTCCTTATTATAGTAACACAAGTCATCTGTGAATTCAAACAAAAGAATCCCTAAAGTCATCATGGTAAACGGTTATTACTTCAAACGATGTTAGTAAATTGTTTTAAGATGGCGATAATGTTGCGGATACCACTAAAATTCCTGGAACTGCAGTCGTTGCACCGTCGGAAGCGTTAGTACTGATTGGGTAATGCAAATTCGTTTTTAGCATCTAAATCCTAAACAATTCTTGCTCATCTAAGTAAAAGACTACGTTCTGCGGCACAGCCTTCTGGTGTATTTATCCAGGAAATCAAAACTATACCCATCTGTATATTCCGGTGGTTGTATACCTAATACCTTATCAAGTAATATTTTTTTACGTTTATTCTCCAGACTTGCGTGCTCGCGTGTTTAATTAATTCACAAAGTTTGTCATCAAAACTGTATAAATTTCCCATTTTTTAACCTTTTTTAGGATGAATATGGTCATAAGTTTTTTTCGACACGCGATCAGAAGAAACAGAACCCATCCGCGATTATCGCGGCCCATTGAGAAACACTCAGTACAATGAATCATGAATATTTACGTACACCTGACTTAACGTTCATTTTCAACGCTTTCGCATCGCTTTTCTTCATTTTCACATTTTGATGCCTCTAACTGTAACGTTTTGAGAGTGCTTCATGTAGTCTAGTCACAATGGCGCAGTTCGTTGCAAAATGTTGGAACTACTATTTTACTTTTTAGATATTCGTAAATGCGGGTTGTACAATAGAAACACCAAATTATATTTTGTAGGGTATTTGCAGCGCCCGTCTTCCCTAATGCAGCAAAATATGGAGAAAGATTCATTGCTAAGGTATGTATGTATACAGATCGCTCTCCATAGGAACATTTAATCTAAGAGCAAAGCCGTTTAACACAAATAAAATCTGAGATGGCCCCATAGAGCCAGTATTTCACACCTATTTTCACCTGCCTCCTTGTTCTCGTTTTAGTGCGTCGTAGCTACCTACTTGGGTTCCATTTGGCTAGTAGAGGCGTAGTGACGGTATCATTTTTCCACGTAATTAAGACCTTCAGATGAGCCAACAGCTTTCGACATAGGACGAGGATACGATAATTTTGCATCTACGTCCCAATTTAACCCTCTGTCGGAACATTCGGCCACCCGCAGCGGCTACTCCCCCTCCGTGAAGTGGTTTAGCACCCGAACATAAAACCTTAAAATTTTATTCACTTTAACTAAGTCGACCTGTTCACATCACCAAAGCACCACCTCGAAGATGCAATGGGTCGTGCCGCTATAGAAGAAGATCGATTACAGATATACAGAAAGGCTGAACGGTCGTAAACGTGAAAAACTTAAACGGTAAAAACCTATAAATGCAACCATTTTATGACACAGTCATTAATATGTTGAAATGTAAATACACAAATGGATTTCGTAAGACTGGACACGTTGAGACCTTGTGCAATAAGTTAATTGCTTACTTAAGCCTCGGTTTCGATAACAGGAAATTAAGGAACCCACCATTATACCTTATACGGACGGCTTGTGCTTGGGCCCATGTCAGTGGTCTCTAAGCGCATTTGTAGGTCGGCAGTACATATTCTACAAGAGTATCACATCTTATTTCGTACTCAGGGAGGTCTTGAGGCGTAACACTAGTGCAAAATATGAAGTTATTTTAATACGATGATTGTTTAACTCTCGGTTTTGGTGAAGAGTCACTTTCGACTTGGTCATTGTGCCACGCCGGGTGGGCTGGCCTTCGGACCTTACCGGTAGTCCGAATACCTTCTGCAGGTCGAATATATGCATCCTGCCCGAGTGTTATGTCTTCTTTCATCTTCGGAAAATTGTCGGGGGGCTGCATTTCTGGCAACGGAATGCGAACCAGATCCTAAAGGATACATATCCTGATTTCCTCTAATAGGTGATAAACCTTATCGGGGTGGAAGAAGTACATGTGCTACGGATGGGAGAATCGGCGATGACCCCAAACAGAAGGGCTAAAATTGACGTCTACCCTCTGCAGCTACCCTAGTCACGTGTTCTGCAGGAAAACTATTGGCAACTGAATCTACACTGGCCGTGAACCATTTAAATGGTTTTGTTACAGAGTTGCCCTACCGTACCTGCATAAAGTTGTTGGTAGAGTGAACTCGTGACACCTTTTTTACTTCCCTACTAGCTGAATAGAGCCCGAATAGATATGACTGGGCACCCCCGACGTGGGAATAAGGTGGACAGGAGGAACAGACTCGAAACTCAACCCCCACGGACCTGAGTTAAATCTCGGCCTCCCTTACACAAATCTTTTTTTAGGCAAGTGTTTCTACATCTCTATGGACAGGCATGATGGTTAGCACATTTCTCCATTCCTAAATCCACTTTTCAAACCGAACGAAAGTACGGGTCTAGTTGAATTACCAAGGGGGATCAGTGACGTTGAGGTCAAGTATCTCCTCAGTTGCATGGGAATTTGATGACTAGCACGGCCAGCTCGCAGGTGTTTACTTACAGCACCGACTACGTTGTGATGGCTGACGCAGGAAGTTGATTGGGGGAAGCACCGGGGACAATGCCCAAAAGAGGAGAGGGAGGCTATGCAATACGTTGCTTTATTAATTCCCGATTTTGGTAGAGTCACTTTTGACTTGGCCATTGTACCATGTCGGGTATGCTGGTCTTCTGGCCATGCCAGTACCCCTAATACTTTCTGCATGACAAGCATTTGCATTCTACCCGAGTGTTATATCTTCTTTCGTCTTCAAGGAAATCTCAGGGTCCTACACTGTGTTAAAGGGACTACACAAATAAATGTAATAGAACATATGTGATCACTTTTAGAATCACATATTTGAAAAATGCAACAGAGAGCTCCAACCGTAAAACCTAACATAACCAAAACAAATTACCCAAAGCTTTTGAAAGCATACAAGAATTTGAATCTGATAACGTAACTATTCCTACTATGGAATCTGAGAACACATTCTCCTAATTTGTATATGCGAAAAGTCACAATGAGCCTTTAATTAAATACTGTGTATATTTAATATTTACTGTTCTCTCAATATGGTCAAATAGCACTTTTCCAAACGTCGGCAAATAACAAAAGTTTTAGTTGCATCACTAGATTACACTTTGTACGAACCACTTTCCTCTTCCTACATGTTGAAAGTAAAAGGATCCCTTATATTACTCTAAATATCAGTTGCTACCGTATCAGTTAAATGATCTCGTATACCATGTCCAAACCAACCATGCACTGATTGGTGGTTCACAGTTTGTGCGCGAGCCCGCTTAGTTAATCAAAAATGGACCAGAATGCTTGGGCCACTCATTGCATTGAGACAAGCTTGGCAAAGCTTACATTGAGCACAAAGTGTATCAAGCAGTCAGCTTCATTTTTGCTTACAATGCCAGAACATGCGGATCTTATAGCGAAACTCTGGCTCCGATCTTTTAGATCAGGTTGTTTTTGTCAATGTGATCCTACAAATGCATTGAATTGCCCTTGTCGGTTATTCTGGTGCCTTAGACATTAATTTTTCCTAAAATATCAAGTCTTTTTTTGGTTCTTAATGGTTTGTGTTGTGGGACGGCCACATCTTTTGACATCGTTACTTATTATTGAACAGTTTAGCTGATAATTGACATTTCGCCTGAGGTCTTCAAGGTATTTGTTGAGTGTCCTTTCCCAACTTAGTGCAATTAATGCCCAGATAAGTCGAGTAACGAAAATTTAATACAGTGTCATTACTCTATGTACTAGTACAAGTTTGCATGCTCCTATTGTGAATCGAGTATGCATGTGTGTATTCTGTTGTTTATTTTTTGCCTTTTTTCTAATTTAGCCGTTGAGCCAGCTTCACAGCTTGCATTGCTTTATGTTCTCAATGAAATTATTCTGAAATGCGCAAGCTATGGAACCCCCGAAATCAAGAATTCATTTAAGGATCCCATTATCGATGCAATGAAGGTACTTCGGTAAGATTAAATCCTTTATCGTCATTGCTTTTCTTTCAGTCCTGGACTGCTTATGCGGAAGGTCAAGAAGCTTTTGCTCATGTGGTCGGAGCGAGGTCTCTTTGACCAACAGTTTAATAAACAAATATTACAAATAACAGGTTCGCTTACTATATTTCATATTTTCCAGACAACTTGGATAAGCATTCTGACCACAAGGCTAGCAACATGGAGACTGATGGACCTGCGGGCATTAAGGATTTCTCTGTGGGTTGTCAAAGAAGTGCATTTTCCCTATTTCAATTACCCCGATCATATTTCCTTCCCATTCTTCAAATGTATATTATTTTAGTCAAATCACTATTTTTTTCAAATGTGGGGCTGGCGGATGTTTCATCCACCAAGTTTTATGTGATATTCTGATGTTATATTCTCAAAATATAGTTGCAGTACTGCATTGTTATCACAAAATTTACTTTTTATAGCCGGACAAACTTGTAAACCAATTACAGGGATTCAAGCAAATGGACGAAACAATCAAGACCTTCTCTGAGTCGGATCTGATTCCCTCCTGCTTTCATCTTCCCGTTGAAACCATCCTTTATCGCATAAAGAGCAAGGAGGAGGGTCAGTCTTTCTCACAGCAGGTTAGGAAATCTCCTTTTTTCCTGACTTCCCACCTGCACTCTAGGTGAGCACATGTGCTGGCCAACTGCAAGATGCGCTAAATAACATGGCTAGAAAGCTTTCAGCGCAGGAGACATTAAGTGAAAATATCGACAAAGCGATACTTTTTTATTCAGCACAGGAGAAGGAAGCTGGTGTTGTTGTAAACGTAAGCAAATGGCATATTTTAGTCCAGATGCTTTTGTAAATTAATAAGAGGAATCGATGCTTATTTTGTCTGGTTTCGTTCTCATTTCTTTTTTTGCTACTGTTTAAACTAGTTGCCTCCACCACTGAGTGGCACTCACGTCGTCTCTGTTGCTATTATTATTGTTGCCTTATAAGATCGGCTCGCTCAGTTGATTAATAATAACAAATAGAATAAGTGCAATTTCCTCCTCTCATTGTTTTGCCACCCGACTTCGTGTTCTGCCCTCGTCGTGCGTGCATCCTAGTGCGACTTCGTTGTTGCTCGAGCCATAGTCTTGCAATTAACAGCACAACTCCCAGGACATTTGCCATATCTGATATTTATCGATGATTATCGATTTATCGATGATTATTGGATTCATATAACGACATTGAAATGTGTTAAGCATAGCGTGGCAGTCACCAGTCGTCCCCCATGTCGGTTTTCGGTGAACTGAAGGAACTTCTGGGCTATCATATCACGATCACCTACTACCATCAAATACGCTAAACTAGTTAGTTAATAGCAGTTACCCCGTCGCAGTTTTGAGACTTATTAATTTTGTTTACAGTTGCCGTTCGTGGTGGTTAAAATCCAATTGTGTTATGAGCTAACACGGCTTTTGTCACTATTTGGGTCATTACTGTAGTAATAGATTTTCGTGTTTCAATGCAGGCTTATAAATCTTATGAGCAGCAAGTGCGCAGCACCCTCCAGACAATTCTTGTTGGTGATTGCAATGGTACTGATCAATCTCCGGTTGCTTTTGAAATGACTATTGAAGAGGACAATGCCAAGTCAATCACTGCCTCTTCACAACAGAATATTTCCAACCAGTCGACATGTTTCGAGGATCATGATGGGGCGGGCGACGGAGGCGTTTCGGACATGTCTGAGGATGAGGAAGATGAGGATAATCGTACTCCCTTAGTAATTCGAAGTCAAGATGCAAATACGACAAGAGATGTCCGTGAACTACTCGTTGATCCTAAATCTCTGGCTCACTTTCCCTTCAGTGATGAAATAATAATTGATGATCAAGGTGATGTGGACTATCGTCCAATGTTCAGCAAGATGCTTTCCTGGTAAGGAAGTTCGTGTTTACGCAAAACTTGGTGAAATTGTAACAAGTTCGCTTACTCCTTACTTCGAATCTAGTCTCTCTTCTCGTCCACCTTGCAGCCTCGCTATAATTTTTTTAATCGAATTCCTTTTTTTTGTAGTAAGTGCTTAAATAAAAAGGAAAGGACTTCAGAGGAGTCCTCTGGTGGGATCTCATGCACTAATAAGGATGTTAAAGGCGCCGATGGGGCCGTCGAAAGTGTAAGCATATCTGGTGAAGACGTTGAAGTGGATGTAAAGAAGTCCTCTATGGCGGACGCTTTTTCTTTGACGGAGACGGGTGACTTTGATTACCGACAGCCAACTCTCGCACCCGGAGAAACGGAGAGGGACCGGCGAAACTCTGCTCCTGGTGATCCCTTCGGCTTGGGTAATCCAGTACCCAAAAATCAAGATGCAGACCTTCGTTTATTAATGCCGTCGGTAAATATGTGTGCATTTTTTAAGCTTATGTGGTAGTACTGTTTGTGTAGATTTTAACGTTTGGCCATACAAATTGTATGCCGTTTTTGTTTCATACGTTTCTTTCTTTTTCAATTGTTTTAGAATATTCACTATATCTCCATATCATCTCTATGCTTAGGTATCCGAATCTTCCCATTCCGTTGTTGATGCAGATTATCGACAATTCTGTGTACCTTCTAACCTACAATTGCCATCGTCAGCAGTATCATCTTTTCCTTGGTTGAATAAGGGTGATAGTGATCTTCGTCAGAGTCAGACTGCTAGAGCCGTGGTCGCAGCATCGGCGCTAGCAAACGCAGTAGCTGTGCAATCCTTATTGCTCGCCTCTACGTCGGCGCTACCATCTCAACCCCTCTTTACGCCTATCATGGCCACTCCAACTGCGTCAATGCTACCGCAGCATCAACCCTTTTCTACATCGGTCACAACTCCCATTCCTCTCTTCCGGCACCAACAAAATCAGTCCAACGCAACAGTCTCTGCCTCATCTGTTTCGGTGTCCCAAAAAAACAAACAACCTCCACTTTTATTCCCAGTTTCTGATCTCCAACAAGCATATCAACCAGAAACCACATCATCCGCGTCTGAGCATGTCAGCTTATCTGGTATTTCATCAGATCTTATTTCCACCTTGAAGAAAATTAATCTCCCCACTGTGTCTTCAATACCTGCTCGATCAACCACACAACCAGCCTCAAATGATGCAGCGATTCCCTCCAATCTCATTCCGGTATCGAACCAAGGCAGCAGACGGGGGGATGGTAATACTAGCAAATTCGGAGTCACGGGTCCTCAAGACGAGGATCCTTTCACCATCATCTCTCGACTTACTGGACTCTCCAATCTTATTCACTCGTAAGTCATACATAACTGTTTCACCGATTGAAATGAGTTCACATTTCCTTTCATGCCTACATCTAGCTCATATTCCTTGAATTTTATCAACGTGCTAATATTAGCGTTTTGATGCGTTCTGAACCCCTGCATTGTATGCATCATATACCGTCAACATATTTGATCGTGCAGTCAATACTTATTAACATCACCTTTCATTCGTTAAATGATTTTAACATTTTATTGTCCTCACGTAAACTTCATTGCATTGTCTATATCAGACTAGGCTGTTAACGCCATTCATTATTCATTATTTCACCGTTCTGTTGGTAATAAAAAATGTGCTTCACTTAGCAGTTTAATTTTTAAATGGCAAGATTTCCCCATCTAGGACTGTCGGATAGAACTTACTTCTGATCAACATATTTCCGTTTAAAACATTTCATGATATTTGATTGCCGAAAAGTAGTAATAATGGCGCTTAACCGAATAAACTATTTAATGCAATTATGGCGTTGTGCTCGTCAAAGCTTACTACTGTTATCTTGGGCGTTGTGCACCACAAAAGCTGTAACTGTGTACGTGTCTTGGTATCGCATCTAAATTAATCTACATGACTAGCCCTTTACGACCGTAGAATGGCTGTCAGGCTACCGACCGCATTAATTTGAGCTGTCAAAGGAACCTCGTAGACTTTCTGTGACTACATGCATTCGACGCGCTAGTACCCTTAACTTGCCGTACTTTCTCGATATTAGGCTGCCTTAGATTTCTAAAACTTCGCACCTCCCTAAGGTCATTTGCAGTTAGACATATTTATTCGCGCTTTTGCGTACACTTCACCTATCTTAACTATGGCTGCTCCAGTCACCGTTGCTGACATCAAAAGCTACTTGCTTTACTTTCTAATATTTAGGTACTTGTGCTGCTGCTTCCAGAAAGAGGAAGCACCGCAGCAAACTATATGTTGTCAAAGCATGTATTGAAGTAACCTAAATACATGTATTTTTGAATATTTTTTGCTGTTTTCTTGGAGATTTCGCATCAGTTCTAGAAGATATTCGGGTATTCGCCTCAAATACTTCTTAATTGGCACTTCGTTCAATAGCGCTGTCGATTGGAGGTTCGCAGTACTTATGCGCTTGTTTCATAATTGAGTTGAGAACATTGGAGTTGGTCTTAACTTAGTAAAGACACGTCCACGTATTACGACTATAAATACTCATTTGTAGCCGTGTATTAGCTTCGACCTATGAGTGGTGTAGAAGGTGCGTTAAATGCCTTTGATACCGGTTATCCCCATTGCCTGCACTTTTTTCCTCAATATTACGAAATGTATCGTCCATTATATAATTGTACGGCAACGTCATATCTTTAAGAATTTTTCTTTAAAGCCATCTAGCTCTTTGCACGGCACCGGCTCAATGGCTACATTAAATTCATATATTTACCCCTCGTAAGTCCTAAGCACAGGATAAAACTTGTTCACTTCTACGATTACTCGGTTTTTAAAGTGTCCTTTTCCTCCTTATCTCCACTCGAAATGGCCGCGGTCAGCATCTGTCATGTAACAGAAGGATGCGTCACTCGTCAACATTGTAATACTTTGATCGCTCCTACATTCTTTGGTAGAAATCATTTCCCAGCATTAAACAAAACAGGCTTCGATGTTGACATCGTGTATTTAACAAAATCAAATAAAAGGAACAGATTCGAAGATGTAATTCAAAAAATTCCGGGACAGCACATTACTTGTTGAGATGGTTCATTGCCTCTGGCGCAGCAGCATAACTGCCTAAACAGTAGGAAATAAAGAAGATAATTCCTGAGATCATCAGTAGTAACTGCGGCCATTACTTTTGTGCCTCCAAAAGTGTGTGCATAACCATCTCCGTAACAGGTATATATGTGTTAGAAATCTGCGTGTGACCCCACCTTATTACGAAGTTATCACAAGCGAACTGCACCCATTTCTCTATGTGAGCGCACGCGTTTATCATTCCACGTCTATCATCTACAGCAAGAATGGGTAACTAGATGGAATCCATTAAAATTCGTATTTACGCCATCATTTTTTAAAAAAAGAAGTGACGGCTATAATTACCCTTAGTTGTGTTTTTTGCATTATTTGTCGTCGTGCTATCAAATACTGTAGAACTGCTACAGAAATGGGGGCATTTGGCTAGCTTGAATTGAGTACGAATCTATCGGAGTTTTTCCACTTTTAGCGTTAAACCAACGTCGGTGTGCACACCGAGCCGATCGATCAGTGAAGTAACCTCATCACCACCGCATCCTGAAAAGTCGTCCTTGTTGGAAATTCAGACTCCGAATTACTCCGACAACTTGAGCGAAGAAGAGGTGGGAAATGGTGTAGCGAAGGCGACAAGTCCGGCTTCCTCTCCTCGTCCTCCCTCGCCTACGTTGGGTGCTGTCGTGAGGGGCGAAGATTTGGAGCAGAGTGAAGATGGCGGAGCTACGCCTACGCAAGATGAATCAGGAACTCCGAGTGATGGTAAAGTCACCGTTTTGTACCACAAACTCTGCATTTTGGCAGGGTGCTCGCAGGACTGAGCTCCAAGTCTCATTTTTATTACTACCCAGCATGATGAAGCTCGTGTTTCCCTTAAATTGTGGTAAACCCTACAGATCTACTTGGAGTGTTGCACGTGAATTGCAGCAATATCTTTTCTTTCACCCGCCCTAGGTACCAATTGCTTTTCATTCCCGCAAACCGGATTGGTTCCGAATGCTCTCACTCAAGCTAAATTTCCACCTCTTGTGTCACCCAAGTCCATGCACCCGCCACCTCTGCCAGGAACGTCGACCAATTTGCTTCTACCATTCCCACTGGTATGTGATTCTGTAATAGCCGATTGAAACTATCCTTCTGAGACTTAACTTTGTCTCATCAAACAGTCCGTCTTAAGACTCGGCCTACTTCGCTCTATTAGTGTTATGTTCACATTGGTAGCGTAAGAGGCCATGTTGAAGCAGATTTTATACACCATTCGGCGGTTTGGTCTTTGGAAGAAACGACCAGAATCGTCAAAGAAGAGCATGCCTTATAGTTCTACTTTCTGTTTGGGCAGTTCTGATTCCACAATCTTAAATGCCTGCCATCTGTTTACTAAGAGGGTATGCTGTTGGCTACAAGTGTGGTTTTTAATGTACAGTAGCCAGTACAACATCTAAACACATTTTCGCATTCGAATTTTTTTCAGGGAATGCCGCCATTCAATCCGATGGCCGTCGGACCGAGTCCACCTGTCCAACCGCCATGGCAGACGGTACTACCAACAAATTGCCCCAATTTTGGTGGGAAGCCTCTTCCACATCAAGCATTTTTTCCTGTTTTCCCTCCTATGGTAACCCAATCGCCATTCCCCAACCTTCCCACTAGTCAGAGTAGTAAGTAGGCGCGCACCAGGAAAGCACTGTAGATACAAACAGTTCTTTTCTTTCTATTGTAATTTTAAGCAAAATTATTGCACATCCGTAATCCTATCGCCTCATACATTCCTGTAGTTTAAACACGCACTAGCTCCCAACTAGGGAAAAATCGCGGTACTTATTCTGAAGCCACTTATAATATTTCGCGTGGATAAATAGGTAGGTTATCGCCTTCGGAGCATTTAGGGAACCACAGTTTACCCAACCAATCACCTAATGGAAGGAACGCGCTTGGCAGAGAATAACAAACTTGATGCTCAGCCTGAAGTCGCTACACCGCAATCATTCAATAAAGCACCCGTCGGGCGGAAGGGGGGCACATATCTTTGAAACAATAGGCAGACCAGAAGTGGTCTTTCACTTCGTTCCATGGGCTCAAAGTATCAAGGAGATCGTTGGGTGAAAGCTCTTGAAAGGGTTCCACACCAGAACATTTCTAAAGATAAAAGTAGGGGATTAGTATGTTGCTTTACCCATTTCGGACCGGCAAATTCGCCCGTAAATGTTGGGAACATTGAACAACTTGACTATTTGATGCTGCTGTAGTTCTAAAAAGGTCTCTAGTCTATCTACCATGCCAGAAGTATTTTTACTAGTACCGAATACCCCAAAATATCGTGAAACTAATTAAAGCATCTCAACGGATGAAACATCAATTTTTGCTAAGAGGAACCGGAAGTCAAACTTGCATTTAGGGCACCAGGATTGTACCACGCCACCGCAGCAACGTGACTGTTGGGAAGTTGATGCTCTTCAAACCTCCACTCGGTATCCACCAACCCGGGATAGGTACATTTGGGAGCGCCTCCCGAAAGATCGAATTCTACTGTGGAAATATCTGTCCTTAAACCGGTACCAATATTCTTCACAAAAGCCTCTTTTAGGCACTAAAAGAATAAGTTATTTTCGTCCGTTCATGAAGTCTGCAGTTGAACATACCCAAAGCCTGAAGAAGTTGCGAATTCTTCCACCGTCTTCACAGCTTGTAGAGGTAAGTAAGTGCCATTCGGAGGGCGTGAAAAGGGATTTCATTTTCAGTAGAAATCCAGCAACCGATTCAGAGGCAGCTGAAATAGAATGCACAATTTTGGGTGAAATTATTCCCCCGCGGCAGCAAGAGCGTTCAATTCGTTGAATTTTACCAATGTGGTTGTCATATGAGGAAACAGATTTAGTTCAGAAAGTAAATTTCAATCCACTTGCTTTGACTTGGGTAAGAGACGACTGTACTTTAAGCAAATTCGGTACGCATTTTTGAAGCGACCATGCCAAATGACCTCCCGCTACTTGTAGCGTGATATCAAATTTGAAGCCCCGATGCATTTATGCTTCTTCGGAATCTCAACTCAACCAGAACTATTGAAGCCAGATGTTGTTTAATTGAAATCAAAATGACGCAAAGTTTAAACTTAAGAAGGTTTAATTGAATTCGGGGCTACGGATTTAATGGCATGATGTCGCATTGTCTATTTCTTTAAAACACTAAAAAAAATTTCAATATACTTATAATTTGCAGTGCCTACAGTTTAATATCTGCACGACAAGCGAAAGAACCGTCGAGGAAACTTACGTGGCAGTTCCACTTGCATTACGTCAACACCTGTTCGCATTTCGTGACAGAAGGTTAGAAGGGTAAAGTCACCATTGTGTGAGAGGTTAAAGTCGAAATCAAGTTCCCCCTCAAGATACGGCCGACGGTATGCACTTCTTTTTACATTCACATTAATAGGATCTAAGCCAAAAAGGCGCCTTGCCATATACAAGGTCAAAAGACGCGCGGCCTAGGAGGTAATGTGCAAGTGGGGTCAAAGATTTGATGTTAGGGCGTGCGCGAGCAAGGAGCATTAGCAAACGCTGGGGGCGGAAATTCTAAATCAAATTTTCATCTGGTTACGTTGAAAAATGGGCATCATGTGCATAAGTGGAGCGGTAAGAACCAACGAAATGAAACAGGAACTGTATTTCAGCTAGCTTTATGATTTCTGGATGGAGGGTGACAGAAAACGAGTGAAAACTGAAGTAGCCAACATACCAAGAAGGATTTAACATCACGCTTGTATGCAAATTTCAGGGCGTTTTCTTGATCAGTGGTTGTTATGCAACGGAAAACGTGGGACAGCTGCACGTTACACGGGTCCCAAAGTCCGTGATTGAAAGCGAATCGCCACATCTACAATAAGAAAGTTGTCTTGCCGCTGCTGAACATAGTAAAAATAGTAGCAGCTGTGTACTCAAAGAAAGTACTAATCAATTTGAAAAATGTGGTGGTATGAACGATTCCTTTCAGTGACGGCGACGAATGCAGGCTGCTGGCTTCTGCACAGTGGGTAACTCCCAGCACATCTTAGCTAAATCACACTGAGAAGTAGGAGAATCCCAATTTGTACGCTTATAACACTTTAATGCTGCGCCAACAGGTTATCTAGGCGCTACACAAAATCGAGATCGAGTCCACGTACCAGGTTATAAGTAAGGAAAATTTGATTTACACAGGACCGAACTGCTAATTAATCGGAATCACCACAATTATTATCAGAGATCACTGTAAAACAAAATGAAAAGTGGTTAGGAAATTGAGGACTGTTGCTAATATCAAAGTCGTTAAGACTAATGGCTCAGTGTGGACCATATTGGAATGCCCACTTGAAGATGTAATAATGTGAGGTAAATGTGCAAAACTTGGGCTGAGATCCATGGGTATTTCACAAGAGATGAGGTTGCCTTAACTGCTGCCAGGATGTCCATAGTCAACTGACTGCCGTATCCTAAATCCAGGCGCTCAAGAACAATTTTTGAGGATCTGCGAACAAAAGCTTCAAAATTTGAGCTTCCGGAGATTAGAGAAAGAAAAAAGCTACTCTCTGCATGGGGTATCACACTTTTAATCAACGATACTATAATCGCACACTCATTAAAGTAAAAGATGAATTCATTTCTTGTTACAAGTACCAGTTTGGGATAACAGCGTGGTGGCAACGAGTAAAAAAATCACTACGGGCCCGACCAAAGGTGAGAAAAAGATGCTATGTTATAAAAGTCCAGGCCACCTAAATAGCAGGAACGATGTGCCATGTGAAGTTACATGCTTGTATGTATCGGCTACTTAATGTGGATCCCAGGAGGAAGAAGGTTGCGTTCCCCAGTTTTGCTGCTCGGCACAGGTACTGACTGTGCCACGTATATGTCATAACATTCAGCAGCCGACAAATTTGCCGACGGACAATACAAACAATGTGAAACTGAGAGGAAACCATCCCAATAAGTTCTTTAAAGGATTTGGAAAAAGCGAGCAAGACTAATCAGGATCAAAAAAGCGCAAAAATATTACATGATGATACAATAAACATTCAGCTGATACTCACGGGAAAGGCCGCAAAGTATCACAAAAATACCCTAGAGGACAATTAAATCCAGCCACCTAGGAAATCAGCAATACAAACAAAGTCTTCCTACCTAAAAGTCCGGTTCGTGTATTGACATTACGCATTGCACATTACGAAACCTATGAGGGTATGATCAAATTATTTTATGTCTACTTGGGTTACAACATTAACCTGCCATATTTCGGCACATGTGTAACAAAGGAAGCTTAGTGAAGCAAAGTTAATCTAGCTATTAATATTTCTATCACCGCAACAATTATTTGCCCTTAATTTTGAATATCTTAATAATGCGAGACTCCAAATGCAGGGCTATTACACGCAAACCGTAAATATGGCGCAAGACATACGGTAAAATCCTTTAGCAAGGATGTTTACCTGTTTGCAGAAGGAATGCACAAACTAAATTTGCATTGGTGACATTTATTTAGGTTATGTTCAAAGATCCGTACTTAGTAAAAAAACTGTTTTACAACTCACTAAGCTTAACCTACGGTCATGTACGATTGTGCGTAACTTCTCAGACTAGTGTATATCACGGATGTAGCGCTTGTGGGATTTCATATCATGCCTCGTTTGCATTTATCGTTATTTAGCCCCTACTTTCAATTTGAGTCTGGCGATCCCGTAAGTCGGTGACTTAACTTGTACAATTTGTGCTGTTTTGGGGATTGGTATATGTGTTTCAGTCGGACTTTGGAACTATTCTACTGTAGGCTTCGTGTAAATTTCCTGCCTTTGTCGCATAATCAGTTGGGAGTCCTATTGTTTTTGTAGTGCACACAATTCTTTATAGTGTGCATGAAATAGTTCGTGTCCGAGTGAGGAAGTGTTTCTAATTGTACCTGTTCTCGGTCTTTTTATTTGTTTAGAAGTGATGAAAGTAGTTTTGCTTTATTCCACTACTTTGTCTAACTCAACTCTATGTTATTCTATGTTTACTGATTACTATACTGTCATAGTATCGCGATGTATCAAACTTATTTTGTGGTTTTTCTCTACGCTCGGTAGTTCAATTTTTTATCTGTTACTTGGTAAATTATGTCGCTTTGCAATGGAATCAGTAGGACTATTTCTCAGGGCCCTTTCCTGCGCAATTGACATTAAGCCAACAACCTACATTTTATAGTTTACGCCTCTTTTGTTGTGCAGCTATCACCGCCTCAAAACAGCCGCACATTTCTTAGTAAGCAAGTCAAAACTATGTTCAGCGTTCAGGTGCACACAAGTCCAACACCCTGGCCAAACCTTTTGTCTGAGAATTTTCACTGTCAAGTCGAGTCGTTTCACCCAAATGAGGCTAATGCGCAACTCTGCATTTTGTTGTTAAACCGACAAAGGTGGAAGAAGGCGGATAGTATGAGGCTGGCTCAGAGAACTATAGAAAGCCACAATCTCTTGTCATTTGAACATGGAGACATCATCGAAGGTCGTGCAGGACTTGCAAGCCTTGCGTGGAGCTCCGACTCCAATGCCCCTCATGGGCCATTCCCTGTGATGTATGTGTCATCTGTTGGCGAAAATTCGAGTGCGTAACTGTGATGAGAGCACTTCCTTGTAGACATACCTTCCATGCTGAGCGTTTGAAATTGTAGTTTGACATCGGCTGTGGCATCTGTCGTGTGTGCTGATGGCGGGCTCGCTTCTCGCATAATCGACATGAGAAATGTCTAGTCTGCCGGCTGATTTAGGGTTTTCGATGATGACTTCATGCAGCTAACGATAACACGAGTACTTTATCTACCGAATTAGATAATAGTTTTTATTTGAGGTGAAAGTTTTAAGCATAGTAAGGCTTACGAATTTTGCGACTACTTTTTTCTAGTATTTTGCTTCTTCCCCTCTCGAGCGCCCAATAGATTTAGACACGTTAGTTCTTTTGATTTGTATGTATTTTTAAGTTTATGATTAAAATGTCTATCAATCTCCGCCTTACTCGTATGTGCATATGATTTTGGTCGATATTTCTCGTAGTACTGTTATCATAACATTTAGCGATATTATTTATTTCCCCAAATATATATTTATGTATTTTTGTACTTTCATAATCTACTTACATGAAACATTTCATGTGACCATTTAGCAAGTGCCCTCACTATCATTGACCTGTACAGCCGTTTACACTTGTTGATGCTAAATACCAGGTCTAGAATTCCCCCTTTCAAATTCCTCTAATTTCGTCTTGGGTCGGTGTTCATCCTTGCATGTTTTGGCCGGGATTTTCTCAGAAATCCCTTTTTAAATGGCTAAACTTGTAATCTACTTAGTTTGCCAGATGGGAATACAGTTTAGGCGGCTATTTTGAATGCCTTGTTGTAAAAACTGCAATGAGTCGCTGTATTCACCTACTCGTTTCGTGCAGGGCAGTGCTAGCGTTGATGGGTAGTCTGCTGTGATTTGTAAGTGGCTTATTTGGGTTCTGCTATTACATTACATCTCCCGGATTAAAGGTATTGCACTATTCGTGGCCGAGTTCTACTTTCTTGAACGTGATACTGGAAAAACTTTCTTTGGTCTTCGTGCCTGCACTGTTCAAGACGTTGTGCTCTTTTTTATCCATTAGTACTTCTTTTCGCACAGGCCCAGATCTTATTTAAAAACTGAAGACCACTGTACCTTGGGAATTATACAACACTCACGCCAGTTATTAGGTTCTATTTAAAAGCGTACATTTTCTGATGGAGCTGATTTCCGTTTGAAGTTCTCTTACCCAATATTAGGGTGCGACAACTTGAGTGATTGCGCTAGACGAGTTTTTAGCTCCAATTTATTTTCTTTTCCATTTTGCCTCTAACCACAGTCAGACGTATTTTGTGGACTCCGAATCATGTTGTTGTTTCAGGGGTAGGAAAAATGTTAGGTCTTTTCAAGCAATTCCTCACGTTAGCTGATTAGTGCTTTACTTTTTAGCCAGTAGTGCCTCTGTTATCTATTAAACCACCTTATTATCATTTTGAATCCTCCTGGGAGTTTTAGCGTCCGCCTTCCTCTAAAATTTAGCACTGATCGTGTGTGCGTTCGTCCTTGTTCGTGCCACGTATGCGACGACACGTAGACACCGCAATTTAGTTCTTGGCTTGGTAAAGCATTGTATGCAAATACCTTATCTTTATGCTGATAATATTATGGCTTGTTGGAAGTAGCTGACATTTCACCTATCATCTAAAGAGAGTAACAATTAAGCGATGAATTATTCTTAAATCAACGTAGTTTATGTTGATTCTTTTCACACTTGCGTCCCACTTTCACGTAGCAGCACTGATGAGATTGATGATGATGACAAGGGCCGTTTTTATTTTGGTGACGAGAGTTTTGATATTTCATCCTTGAATTTGCACCAAAAGCACTTTATTTTGACCATTTATGCTCCAATTCAAAAAATGATTCCTTCTTAGTTTAACCTAATGCACCAGCCTTTCTACTCAATATCTCTTTCTAGCGGAATGCCAACGCGAAAAATCTTTCAAACTTTAGTGACTGATGGATTCAATTTCTTCTCCTCTTAAAAGAGAACTCGAAGGTGTATCTACAGCCAATGGCCCCCCTTCGAAGAAGCGATCATTTCAGATTATTCCCAACGTATGTGTAATTTCTCCCTACTAGCAGTATTTAAGCCCACTAATGACACCATCGTTCTATCATTTAACAGAGTTCAAAGCGCGCTTCAAAGAATGCATTTATTTAGAATGCTTGCGTGCTTTGCTGCTCTTAAAATCCATCGAACACTTTGTACTTACATCGGACAGAACGTTTTGTCTAAAATATCACCAATTTTAAGCATACCACTTTAATTTGGGGTAGCTTGTTTTTCAATGGACGTTGACCTGATTTTGTGTTCTTTTCTCAAAAAAACTTGGAGATGAGACTCACTCTGGCGCATCTGTTTCTTCTTATTCGCCCCAAACAACGTATCTGCTAATGTTCTCTTTGGAACAATGACTTCATCACACTTAGGTTGGGTGGGTCCAGGGGAGTGATTTTCAACAGTGTACGGTAGTTTAGTCATGACGAAATGTATCATTCAGTATCTCACCATGTCCCTAATTTCTATGTAAAACATCTGTCATTCTTCGTTCTCCCAAATGAATTGTTTTCGAATGTGTTTTGATGTTAGTGACCAGAGTTTGGTATTTGATTCTGCCACCGTTTCAGGCAGTTGGGCCATTAATATATTTTTTTTGCAATCTTAGGCTTAAATTAATTTGCTATAATGCCATCTGCAACATATTAATTGTTTTGCTCATATACACGGGCTCTGTCAGAGTCTCAGTCCGTTCACGCAGCCGCACTGTTTTAATCATTTCTATTCTTCGGCATTTTGCACTTACGAATTCAAGGTAAAGGCATTAAGGCTGTTGTTGCAATCAAAGGCACTAATACGACGCATGAACATAACCATTTGTAATGTTATGGCATCGATTTGAACAGTGCAAAAAATGTAAAACTCTTGCATGACTTTTTGTCAGATAGTTTAAGGCCAGTCTTGTGAAACAAGCCCGTATTTCAGTCCTAACTGCTTACGCTCCAATTTCACTAGCCGTTCGTAGTTGACGCACCTTTATATTCTTTGTATCTTTCAAACTACATTCAGCCTAGGAAAACAACACCAAGTGCATTTAGGCAGTAAACACCCCATGCATGATCAGTGTAAATTTTACAAAGTGACTATTGTAAGTTGTGTGCCTATGATTTGCCCTATCAGGGGTCGTGATTGTTTATACCAGAAATCCGTTCTAAGCGCCCCGGAGAAAAACATTAAGTTGGATCCGAGGGGGTTATATGTAAAGGAATGTGGCTCTGAGGCGGTGGCCACGGAGGATGATGAATTGGAAGAGGAGGATGTCGAGGAGTTGTTCGGTGACGACGAGGAAGACGATGATGAGGGGGAATTGGAGTTAGAGGAGGAGGTAGATGAAGAGGACGACGAAGAGCAGGACGAAACGGAGCGTCTCGCGGAGGTCCTCGGTGTGGAGGTCTTTGAGCGGGGTGATGGCGCGAGCAGTAACACCGATCGACCCAGCATTACCCCCGCCGACCAGCAGGAAGAGACCAATCGAGCTGAGGACAGGAAGTTGCTTGCTCTCATGGCTCACTTTAATGACGATCAATTGAGTCGGTTTGAGTCCTACAGACGCGCCACCTTTACAAAGTCTGCTGTCAGTCGGGTAAGACCTATGCCAGGCTCTTGTGTATGTGTACATTTATAAAATGGGTTTCCAGACTTAATCATAAAAGGTGGAAACGACCTTCACAAATAATTCCACATGTTCCTCGTCTAAAGTTTTTTGTTGAAAAAAAATAATAAATCATTACCCTGAAAGTGTGAACATAAAAATGATTTGTATAAAGAGACGTAACAAAAATCTGTAAAGGTAACAGCACACAAATGATGGCTTAATGTGGATTTTAATATGTACAAATGTTTTAGTTTTTTTTTTCGGGTGAATCGATCAAAATAAGTGATGTGTTTTGACGATTGGAAGTCACGTTTTGTCATTTTTACCATTGATAATTATTAGATTTTGTATGTGCTTTTGTATGCCTAGCTCATCCAGTCGGTGGCACAGACTTCATTTTCTCAGAATGTTGTTATTGCAATGGCTGGAATTACAAAGGTTTTTGTTGGTGAATTGGTCGAAACAGGTTTGTTTGCAACTAGATAAGTATATTACAAATGTTAATTGGGATTTTTGTTATCATGGTCACTGCTTACACAAAGCAAATGGAGTAGGAACATAAACGTCAAAAATGTTTTGTGCCATTTAGGTTCTAAGATTGTTATCTAGCAGTCATCTTGGTTACCCATCAAAAATATGTTACCTTGTTTATATTAGTGATCACATTAAGTTCGTGTAATTTTTTACGCCGTAAGGGACGCGACGTAGCAAGTGTAAAAGGCAGCTCTTCAATAACTTTTTGGGGCATAAACCCACAACTCCTTTTTTTGCCTGTTTATAGCACTTGACTATAAAGAAGAACTACAGGAAACCGGGCCTTTGCAACCAAAGCATATTCGAGTGGCTTACGCTCGGTTAAAAGCACAGGAACGTACATCGCGACAAAGTCGGTTAAACCCACTACTGTGATTTGCTTATCCCATCGCTTTTTATTTTTCCCATCTATGCTTGTACAAATGAGCACTTTTATTCATACTCTTGTCTCCTGGGGCTTAGCAATCCTAGTAAATATGGCTCATGAGTATAAGTTAAGGCTATTTATTTTTAAGTAACAGGTATAGTGGAAGCTTATCTTTGCTATTTAGGAAGTAGACTTCCAGGGATTCGGTTTCATATTTTGTTAGTAATTAATGTTATAAAGTATTACCAAGGGTCTGTTTGATTCCATCAGCAGTACTGAACCACGGACACTAGATTTTCGGCAAGCACAACTCGTGTTTGCATACACTGAATAAATTGGCGCTTTAAAGTAAAAGCATCTTCAGCTACGAGATAGCACTTCCGCCGGTGGTGAAAGCCTCGTTTGTGAGGCTCCTCAAGTGGAACATCTATTGAAGTCGTATTAGACTGAAGTATGGGGACTGACGATGTGCAGAACCCAATTCGGTTCCCAGAAATTATTGACCCTGTTTCGGCTCCGGTGGGATATGAATGCAGCTCTACCTCTTACTCAGCTCTGCGGTTAGTGACGTGGTTGTGTGAACACTAAGTGGAACTTGGGAAGGTTCTCGTCCTCAGATGTGAAATAGTGGGTTAATTGGAATTCGGAGCCCAGAATACCCTTTCAGCGTGGACCTGGGGTGGTTGGCCTAATTAAGACACTAGGTCTGCTATGAATTGTATCATCCCGAGCAGTCACGTCTACTTTAGCATCTTATTTCTATCTAAGCAGTGTAGCAGCGACACGAAGCACCTGCCGATTTGTAACCTCATGATTTTCAATCTCAGCAAAACATCGGCGTAGGTAGAATTCAAGGCCAGTAAAAGTGCACAGACAAAAAGGGCATTCCAATCGTACTTGATAATTTTCTAGCACGTGTTGATCTCACAATCCCCAGTATTTATTTTTGGTAGGACAATTGAGTTGATTTTATGTTTTTGCAAAGTCAAAAACGTATTTAACGCTGGCCATTTGGTTTCATGTTCTGTCGCTCGATTTCACGGCACGTGATCTCGACATCGGCACGTGAGTGTTTGGCGTGAGGGTGATCCGTGAAGTTGCCACAAGAGACGGAATGACTCGACGTTGGAATGTAAATTCCGAACCCTACAGCGCCTACTTGTCACCCAGTAAGTAAAACCATTTATACATTTAGTCTGTGTTACCTATCGACGGGTCCCACTGCACAGAGTATTTGATAGCTACTTGACACAAGCGACTCATTTCTTTTTGTTTTGCTTGTTGTGTGGAAGTAATACTGAGAAAATAAAAGTGTATAAAGGGAAACATTCCATTTGTTAAAGTACATGATCTACTAAATAATTTTTAAACTACCGTAAACGAACGTATGATCAATGTACATATTCATTGAAGGAAATAAACTATTTAAGTTGCAAATAATAAAAAAAAACAATACTATCGTGCTGCCACGTGGAGAGAACAATTTGGCACACTTTGCATTAAAAATGGTAAACCTTGGGGCAAGTTCAAACAAGCTCAACTTAATTAAGGACAAGTAGATCAGCTGGAACCGGAAAACGCATTCTACACCACTGAGGTCGGGAACAGGTGCGAGAGACACTACTGTGGGGCGTGCGGAGAATGCCACTCAACGAATATCTGCGCCTCCATGCGACTGTTGGAGCACGTAACAGGCACCAGCCTCCCTGACGCCGCATTCCATGCCTCGGAAGCCTATGTCATTAACGACTACGTGCAACGACGCTTTCAAGCGGAGCGCCGCAAACTGCGTCTGGAACACCACTGTAAACCCACCGGACCCTTCCCCCTCCCTCACAACACTGGCTAATGTTCCCGATGCCGTAGTCTGAATTACCATTTGTGGTGAACTCCAAAGGAGTGAAAGTAGACACTTCTTTATCGGATTTAAATGAACAGTTGCCTGCAAGGTTTCCACTTTAAGGAGAAAAAACAACCAAACCCCCTATCCCTTCAAAGTACAAACATAAGACTAGTAGAATTAGTGCTTTAGCCATCACAAGTTTAGGGCCAAGGTGACCCCCAACCCATCACATTTTCGCAGTAAATGAGTGAATCACACGACATTACTGACTTTAGTTAGCTTTGAAGAAGTCGCCGGCGGTTGATAAACAAAAGTGCACAAATTTATTATCCGATTATAACAAGCCTGCTTGCAAACGTGAAGAGAAAGGGTTTGTACGGTAGTTATTCTCATCTTATATAAAGTAGCAGTATTCTGTCAGTGTGAATATATCAGCAGCCCGTTCAAAAACGCAAAACTTCGGATTCGTTATAAGTACTTTTAACCCGTCATGAAATTCTCCGTATATAAAACGTGTAATACACAAGAACAGAGTTTAAACACGTCATAGCTTATTAGACGAATAATTACTGCCGAAAAATACAAGTTACTTATTAAAATCAGAAAGGAGACTGGCCAACTAATTTTGATAGTTTGGTGTTATATTTGGTGATGCATTATCCCCCTCCATCGTACGACGGAGGGGCGCATAGTGGGACAAATCAAACTTCAGTGAGGAAGGACCTGAAGTAGGCACTCAAGCAAGCTCTCCGGGGTCGGCGATTGACAGACGGCTGTCAATGGAAGGTGAAGGGCTTCAATATTCGCTGCGGTAGTGGGTCCGATTGCAATGATCTAGAGATAAAGTCCCATTGAAGGTGAAAAGATGAAAACACAATTATGATACAATGTTTTACGCAAACCTCTCCCCTAAAAATCGAAGTAAATAACTGGTTTTATTGTTTAGACTTGTTTCGCGTGCAATTAACTTCCAACGGCATAACCAGATTAGTGAATCGAGATGATGATATATCCATCCGAATTGTACGGATGAAACAAATAATCTAATACCACTAAAGTACGACTAACCCGTAGGGCGGAATTTGGTTCCGAAAGGAATTTAGACAAAATAGGCCGTGCCAGTTCGACACCTGATGGACTGAAGAACACCAGGTACTGCGAACGGTTTTCTCCCTTCTACCGATTACACAACAAATTAGGAAATAAACTTAGGTTAAAATCGTAAAGGTTAACAAAGAGCACCTTACCTTCAACAATGAAGAGAGCTGAGTCTCGAAATCTGGGTTCGGAGCAGAACTGTACAGGACGACTTCTTCCACTAATAAGCCTACAGAAATTTGCGATAAAAAGCAACCTACCGGCTTCACGCAATCTATTTGGCAAAACAGGACTATGTCTTGCTCCAGTAAGTAAGAGAATCGGTTTCTTTGAGACTTCTTCAGCATAATTATCAAGTATAAATTTCGCCAAATTTTTGGCATTGCCAGTATGAGAACCTGTTGTTTTGAAACCCAACTTGCTAGCTGAAAGAAATGAATTCCTTGCAGCCTTTATAGGAAGGAAATGAAAATAAGAACCTCTACTAAAAATGAATGATATGTTTCTATGCACTCTAGGAATCCATTTACCATGCGTTTCTAAAATCCGAGGATCAAGCAAAAGACAGATTGCTTAGAAAACATCCCAAAAACTGCAAAATAGATACCTGCAGAAGAAGTAGCGGGTCCAACAGTAAAGCACAAGTCCTCAGGAAGACCTTTGGGGAGGGATGTAAGAAAAGAAATCAGAAAATACCGATCAAGTTTGTGGAAGCGTATGAGTGAACAGCTTGTTGACTGCAGAAAACAACACAACTATAAGACGATCTCCACTTGTAAAGTTGTTCAAAGAGACACCCGCGTATAGAAAATGATACTGTTTTAATAAGTTCTACGGAAATTTCACAAGACTTTAAGAACTGAAACGAATGATGAAGGAAACGGTTAGCGAACATTTACGTATGGGTCAGCTTCACGAGAATACGCGTCTTCACTGGTAGATTTAAGTAGAATAACTTCCATGCGACAACTCTAACAATACAAAGCATGAAATGCAAATGAGAAAACGCACAATGCAGCAGTTCTTGGACAATTCTATTGGTATTCAGCTCCATGTTACTAGGTCATAAAAGGTGAACGAAACACAAGTACTAAGAATTATAACAAGGATACTAATTTACACGAATTGTGCGACATAGGAAAACGTCTTTTACCCGACGCACAGCGAAAAAGGCGGTATAAACAGAAGTCAGGTGACATTTGAGTTACTAGGGTGGCTTCAAAAAACAAATACTCAGCTACCTGAGAAACAAATGAAGAGTCAATGACTAGGTTACTTACTAAACGTCTTTAATAAGTTCAAACAATAACCCCGGGTCTCATCTGATAGCACGCAATCGGTAACAAGAGAAATAGAGTGCAACCCCCTTCTGTGAAAAATGCAAAACACAAGTGCGCTATAATACACACCAGCAGCGATGCAATCCAACTAATTGCCAGACAGGATGTCGATTATATTACTCCCTATAAAGCTTCGATATTTACCCCAGCGGTTGCAAACCCCCAGCCCTTTACTTGAATAATTACTCATGGTCTTTGTATGTGCTGCTGCATTACTAAATTTCGGTGCAAATTTCGGATGAATTTGATATGTGCCGTAAAATTGCCATAAAAATGTACGTTCATTAAAATTCCGCTCAACTTTAACTGCAAATAACACTGTATTAATTAGACTAAAGTTATGTCATTTGTTATACACGATTAAATATTTATTAGCTCTTTAATGTTGTAAAGGATTCTTCTACATGTATTTGCACCCATATTTTGCATAAAAGGGCCAAATAATATCCACGTGAAAAAAACAGGAACGATGCGCATTTTTACAAGTTGCCAGCATATTTAATGCTTAATAGCCGTTAAACAAATAGCTAAACGAAATGTCGAAATACTGTGGCCTGCATCTATTTCAGGTATTGCTCGATACCGTTGAGACGAACTAGGAAAGGCATGTGAATGAAGCAATTAACGATGCGACCACTTCGGTCTTCCTGGATTGTACTGTAGCGTCCCGAGACTCCCTGAAGACGAAAGAAGACACAATACTCGGGCAGGATATATATATATATTCAGCACGGAGAAGGTGTCTGGGCTATTGGCATGGCCCAAAGGGCCAGCCCGCCCAGCGAGGTACAAGGGGGCTAATTCAAAGTACAAATGTGGCGCCTCACCAGAACCGAGGGATAAACCACTATCGTATTACAGTACTTCCGTTCCGACCATGGCGTAGAATCCCAGCTCTGCACGTTCCTCTACACTGCTTGGGTTCAGTACGAATTCACCGAAGACTCGGGGTGCTGCACAGAAGATGAAGTACTTCTGACAATTGAAAACCTTTCGAACGTTGGTGACTTCAACTATTTCCTGTCGAGCCCAAATTACCATGTTGTTTTTTCTGTTGAATTCATTGCTTAACAGAGGCACTAGCATCTGGTTCTTTAATGGCATCCCGCGGGATGGCATTCGAATAATAAAACCCCAAGGTAAACAACATGTTTGAATGCGTAGACCAGGTGGACGCAAAGCCGAATCTCACTACAGTCGCGATCGCGGTTACTAGCTTTAACGAAGCCAAGTTTAGCTTATTGATCTCACAAATAAACTCCATGTATTTGCCAATTTGGTGAGGCGCCCCAATTTGCGATAAGCAATATACAATTACTCTGAACTTTTGTTAATTTACTGAACTTCAAACCGTCAATATGAAATAGAAAGGTTGTTAACACCATGAGCAGCATGTACATGATACCATCGCCAAATCATAATAAGGAACTCAAAGAATAGGTACAGTACCGTGCGACGAGGATGTGTGAATTCTTTGCAAGAAGCGACAGAGAAAATATGTGCCTTTCTTGGTTCAATGTGCAATTCATGGGGAAAACGAAGAGCAAAGTGTGGGCACCAAATTCATATTGAGGCGCTGCGCGTCAGCTGATGGGAATTGAGGGGGTCGGGTGAATGAAAGGCGGTAGGTGAAATGCACTTTCTCTTCCGCTCTTCTTTACAAAATGAACTTGAGTCAGGACTTAGAAACATCCGACACTGCTGATGCAGTGGCTCGCGCAGCGTTGCTGTGCAATGGTGGCGATCGCATCCACCAGGAATTCTGGATTGTGACCGCGTCGACCACTGCGCTCAGGTGCTTTGTGGAGGTGATCTCACTAAACTGTTTCGCCCCACTGTTGTACCTAAACACAAAAAAATCAGCAAACATTCAGGTCGTGGGTCATTTATGTCACATTTAATCAACCGCGGTGCTGTCACGTTTTAGCACTGGTCGGTTAAATGAAGCATTCAATCAACTCGTCATTTTTGTTCGTATTTAGCGTTCCAGTGCTGTTCAAACGCTACCATTTTTCATCAGACTGATTATGAAGTAGCTAAGATGCAATGTAGCGTTTGTAGTTAGCAATGCTATCAATTGCTAGCGGTCAAAAGAAGAAGGTAGATGTGAATTTAATCGGTACTACTGTGAGAGAGCTTATTCATTTTGCAGAGAATAGGCTTACTTGAAAAACTTATCACACATATTATGAGTAATTTTCCGGGGGCCGTTGCCGCAGATGAATTTGAGTTCCTCTGTTTCAAAATCAAAGGCGTATAGAGCACGGTATTGGCATCTGCTATCTCGGAAAAGAACGATGAAATGCGATCCATCCACAGCAGCGAGCTCCTAGCAAACAAAGAGCCCATGATTAACAGAGCTGCGCACTGCCAAGATTGATCCACATCACCCGAGCTTTTGGCCCATAAGCTTGTGGTAGTCAAGGTAATGTAAGCTGTCAATAGCAGCAGGATCGGCTAACGCTCGTAGCGTTTCCATGCGCACGACTCAGTGCAATGTATGCAAGGGCTACATACATCGACAGTCCGTAATTCTGGCTTAGATTTTTTAATCTCACTGTAAGAGTTGATTTGTTCGTAATCGAAAGATCATAGCCCCGAAGTTTGCAGAAGAAGCAAACTTTACTGGATCAAAGCTAGTTGCAAACAATAGGATAAAGTGCAAGCGTTTTATCCAACTCAAAAATACGCCTAGTGAACATTCGAGGTTGCTTAAAATGCATTCATTGTGCTTTGGTTTTTTAATATTTAAATACAGTCACATCTGTCTTGCCAACTAGAAACCGCGATTGACAAAAATTAGAACTCAAATTTCTTACAGATTCATAGTCCATTTTAAATTAATTGACAAAAGCTTCATCACAATAGTAACAATAGGAGTGGGTCTTACAGAGTGCCTTAATAAGCTGAATAAATGTGAAAAATGGGATGGATTCGGCTTACCTGCAATGCCAACTTCTTTGCAGGTTCATTCACGGTTCCAGCAAGGCAGCAGTGTGAAATTGCGTTTACAATCACCTGCCGATTCGACTTTGACTTTGGCTTTACGTAGAGACGTGGTTGTGATTGGATTCCAGCTATTGGAAAACCTGGCCCGCTGTAGGTACTTCCTTCGCCGTTCTCCAGTCGATGAAGAGCTAATAAATTTCGAAAAGTCTATAAGGCAGCTCAAAGATGTTATTGTCAGAAAAAAAACAAGCTACTACTTTGTATTCACGAAAACATTTACCATATCAGTTGTTACTGCAGCTAAGACTCTAGCAGGGAAATTAAGTTTATTCTCAAAATTTCCCCTATAAAGCAATCTCAAGGATCACATGAGCAGATCCATACTGCTCACACCATACCATGTGATAAAGTAGTTTTTTCCAGTAAATTTTGATTATGAACATGGAGTAAGATCAAATTTGCGTGGGAGATATCTCAGGTAACAGGGGATCACATTAATGAACTGGAAGCTATAACAATAAGTAAATGAAAGTGAGGCTAATTAAACAAATTAACATGCATGCAAAGAGCTTATGGTACTAATCTTTAATAATATTTCAAGTGGTAGAAGGACCGCAAGTAAATACTCTTTGAGATATTATCAAACCAATAATAATTTGAAAAGCCGACATGCATGTGAGCCTTACAAGAGAGACTGGGTCCATTGCTAAGTTGATTGATGGACCGTCGTGATGCAGATCTTTGACGTCCAACGGATGTAGCATTCTCTCTATCATTGGTTGAAGTCACGCGTCCAGCAGTAGTGGATCGGTTCCCGCTGCTCGATGTGACCGAACTGCGAACATTCAATTGGCAGAGTGAAGCCGATCGCGAGTTCCGACCGCTACCACTAACGCGGGCAGCGCCAGCAGATGTCTTTCGTCGTGCAGCGGTAGCGGTAGCAGAGGTGTCTCGGAGTAGTGCCGAGGTCGGGCAGGTGGGTTTCGGGGGAATAGCTGAATCCACTGATCCACCTTCGCCGTTACTGGCTGTCCCGTTGTCATTCGTTGTATGCACAGGAAAGCCTGAATTTTCGGGCTGAATAAAAGCAAATCGGACCTCTTATTTATATTTTCATAAATGATTACAAATGCTTAACTAGATAATTCTAAACAAATTTTATGGTATCAGCTACAAGTAAAAGCGTAACACCATAGTGAATATCCATTTAACACATACCAGGCAAAAGAACCGTGCAAAGTTGGCGAGATCATGCCGCCTTTCAACTACAGTTTAATCATTACCAACGGCAGCCAAACTACTTTCTGCACTTTATCTGCTAATTACGCCAAAGTTTGTTCAATAGAACAAGGATTTTACCTCTATATCTGTGGAAAAGACATCATCTGTAGGGAGAATAGAGACGTTTCTCGCCATTTCGGATAATTCCGACAGGAACTGTGACTCCTGATCAGCCATGCGGGCGCGCAAGGCGCTTTCAGTCAGTCTAGAGCGATCGGCCGCTCTGCGAGCCTCAAGACGCTCTCGTGCTCGTTGGAGACGCTGTCATTCATTAAAAACTAGTTTAATTATTAAAAATGATAAACAATCTTTGCCTTAATAAATTCTTTAACTTAGTACCCTCAGCTTCACTACTAAATAATATCTCGTTAATAAATCTGCAAAAACATTACTTAGTAAAATTATCTAAGAAACACCTTAGCATTGTCAGTATAAAGTAACGATATATTTGAGTAAGAAAGGCAACAATTTCCCTCACTGAACCTGTTAAGCCAAACACCATGAGCAAATGGCAAATTCGCCACAAATCCATTCCCATTATCGTGACAAGCAACGAGGCCTTGTCCTTTGGAAACTCATGGTTATGTAACATGTCAGATAACTGTGGAAAATAGACAAAGGAGGAACAAACCTCCGAGGTGGGATTTTCAAAGGTAATAAAGAGCTTTTCAGCAGGTTTGATGACTTCGGGCTCTGGAGATGGAGATTCGATTGCAGCCTCGATGTGATCATCCGTTGCTCTTGACTCGGGAGGTGATATCGGTTCCAACGGTTTAATCTCTGGGGTCTATAAGTTATTATAATTAACGGAATATCTGAGAAATCTATGTTTATTCGATGCCATAGGAGTATTCATGTCGTGTCAATCATACTTAATGACAACGCAATCTCCTCACGGTATGTGATGTAGTGGATTAGTCGTTAATTTTACCCCATAGCGATGAAAGTTTAATAAGCATTTTTGCAAGCCGGATTGAACGCTACTTGTACAGCAATAGCTAGGATAAATTCATACAAAAAGACAAATATTAGTGTGCTGGTTCTCCACCAAAGCGATTGACAAGTACCGAGATCAAATTAACAAGATATAATGTATGAACGATATTATTCTTTAAACAAACTTTTATCCCGGTTCCATTATTTAAAGTTATTATTTTGAAGACATTTTGTGGAATTTACAAGCCCTGAGAGACTGTTCGGAGGAGGTTCTGATCCCCTTAAATGCGCCTGGTACGGCATCATGTGACACCAACAAAAAGTACCTTTTAGTCACTCAGATGAGTAAAAGGAAGTTTGCATAGGCATATGGGAATTTTGCATAAAATATATGCTACAATATATCTCAAAACTATAAAATTGCATCAGCAAAGACATATCGTTGACGGAGTCAAGAATAATACATTAATGAAAACATAGATTTCGCTCTGTATTGAAACCTTTTTGGTACCGCATTCAAACTGTAAATCCTCTTTTGGAAACAAATGACCTTCTTAAGGATTCTAAGACAAATCTTCTGAAACGAATGATTCCGTATTCTTCGAGAGGAAACAAGGCAAAAAAAACTACGGCATAGCAATACATTTCATGGAGGTGCAGCAGGGTCAGAACCTTACAGAAAGGGAGATTTTCTCAAGTGGATGCTTTTCACTGGTCATATGGTCGGGAGAATCGGCATCCACGTGATCGTCGCCGTTGTTCCGCACGTCGCACTGGGAGGGATACCGCAGGGGGGTCCTCGTGCTCCACATGGCGCGGGTGCTGCTGGAGGGTGTGACAGCCGGATGCAGGTGGGAGGAGTGGGCAGATCCAACTGGTGGGACAGACCTCGTCGGATCGGTGTCGCGGAGGTCAGTGCACAGGGAGAGTTGCTGTGCAGTGAGACGTTCAATGTCAGAGCGAAGTGTAGTCACTGAGCGCGCGAGCTCCGCTATCACAAGAGCGTCTAGACCGGTTCCCGCCGACTTCCCCAGGTGATTTAACTCTAAGCGATGCGGTCGAGGAGGGAGGGCAGAAGTGCACACGGGGTAGCTAAATTCCTCGCCAGAGTCGAGAGCTCCCAGTTGGCATTGGCGTAGATGCTGGCTCGAAGGAGTCCTTCTTCGACTAAATATTAGCAGGATGGAAGGAAAACAACGATTGTCTCATGCACTGGTATCAGGTGTTCTACTGGAGTCGCTCTAAATCTTATACTGATATTTTGGAAAATAGCATTACATTTCACTTTTCAAGTCTGTAGCAGCTTTAAAAAATGCCACCCCGACTCACCACCTGTGGTACTTTAATAATTATTTTTAGTGAAACAAATAATGTCCTTTGCTAGGGTTTACCATTTTTAATGAGGGATATGGTTAAAAACAATAGTATCTATCTGTGAAAACAAAACACTATTAAAAGAGCTGTCTTATCGCAAAACATCATTACCAACGCATACGTCCCTTTATAACCGCTGCTAAAAGCAGGCCATTCAACAGTAAAATCGCTTGGCAAATGTATGAAATTGCATGACCAATGCTAGTGAGACTCGGAAAAATGAAAGCTCAGCATTAAGCAACACGAGATTCTCACGTCTTTAACCTGCATTTGAAATACAATGGACGCGAGAACTCGACGGCGGAAGAGAGAAGGCGACTACTCCAAAATATGGAATACTCAAGGCTGAAATTGATCATTGAGGAAGCGTATGAGATAATCCGCAACATACATTGCTAAAAAAATTACCACAATTAACCTAACCGAAAATATGGAAACCTAATTATTCATTTTGAAAATTGCAGAATAAACTGCAAATAATGTTGCAAGAAGTTCGACAAAAAGTTCGCAGAACCATTTTTTTGTCTTAAAATGGAATAAACTAATGTCAACATTCAAGCAATCATAGCGCATTCAGGAGTATGGATAGGTCATAGGATGGTATAGATAGTCAAATAACCCTAAAAAAACATGCAAAGTAACGTAGGAAATATTTTCGTTGGATAATTAATTAAATCAATTGGATATTGAGAATGTTTAATTTTATTCTGTAGCGATCCGAAAATTATAACTAGAAGGCTAGAGGCAAGTACAAACGTGCCTTACTCCAAAAGCCTGTGCGCATTAATGAATGAGCCAGGTGAGGCACCCACCAGTAAAATTGACGCCCTATCGTCTACAGCTAAGCAAAGGCGATTTCTCATTCAAGGACCTTCTCACGATCAACCACCTCACCGAAAGTAGGCGTGCGAAGCCAGGAGGTTTCCAAACGTTTGAATTCATTTTAAAATCTTCCACGCTAGCAAGGTATTCCAATTATTGGGTGCATACGCGGATCATCAATTCCACTCAGACGTCAAAGGTAAATATGAAAGGGCAATTCACTCCAACTTGTCAATGCTTAGGGGTTTGCCACTTTCTAAGTCCAAAAATATAAACATTCAAAACCGAATGTACTATTTGCTCCCCTTTATTGTATTCAATCAACCACTTTAAAATAATCAGATTGGCATTTTATTTTCCATTGTTGGAATCGGTGAATGAACGTGACTTCAAATGTTGGGTCCATCAAAACACGGACATTTGCGTAAGCTTTTGAAATGGAATTTAGAGAATTAGTGATGATGGTCCAAAATTTTCCAAAATACATGTGTATCTCAATCTGCACACATAGGAGAGGACCCATTCTCCACTCGGACACTGACGATTAAGTAAACAAACATATCTAAGATTTAAAATTAAATTTAGTGCTTCTAAATCAGATCCAAAAATACAAACTACATTAAGTGTACTTATAGTGCAGAATTAGTATCAAAAAATGCATTGAAAAAACCTCCTTATACTTAGTTACTCTACTCCAGTATAATTGGACCAGGCCGTCTAAAACATTCAAAGGAAAGCTACTGAAAACAAAATGAAGACAATCATACTGTGTGAAGAACTTAGCCATAGAGAGAGACAGTGGCCTTTAAGTCGACGTTAAAAGGGAAATCAAATTTTTCAGATGCACTAGGTCCTGGACTAAGCTTGAAACACTGGAAAGATCTTAATGCAACTACAAAGGAGATAAATATGGTTGCTTCTATCATTTCTGTTTTTGTTGTACTTATCAAATGAAACGGGGGAGCAGAATCGGTGGATTTATGCTTCTAACAGAAAAAGAATCAAATCAGCGCTTGCACCTTCTAATTAATCACATAGCATAAAATAATATTCTGTGAAAGTGCCACTGATTAAATGAATATCGAAATAATCTGACCACAAGCTAGATGTTATGGTCCCTTAAAAGGGGGCGAAAAATATCATTGCCTGATTTTCCTTACGCGTAAACTAAATGCAACGGCAGGAAATGGAATTAAAAAACAGACTGCGTTTATCTTATGGATGCACCATACGAAGGAAAAATCGAAAGCACAGAAACAGTTCTGATGTATGCCTAGGTGGCTGGAACACGGCTCTGCATTGTCCCGTCTGTGAATGCCCATGTGCATGTAGCCATGCTTACTACCCCGTGATGGGACTAAGATCTAAAACAGGTTTCGCTCAAATCGTTCTACGAGTTGTTACTTTCCCGTGGTTTGGCATGACGTGACATCATTTCACGCATTGCAGTGAGATTATGTGACCAATCATCCATGCGTGAATTCTGACTAAGGCTTCACACGCGTGACAACCATCCACGGGTGCGCGCCGAGCTTGAAGAGTGTAGGCCGGCCTTCGCCTGTCTGCCTGCCTGCCAACCCGTCCGCTTGCCCGCCTGCTTACGCGGGGAAAGTGCCACCTCATTGGTGCACAGGGCGCAGCAATGCGAACGTCGATGATGCCGCGGACTGCATTACCAACGGCACTCCTCACGTGCTTACGCCTCCACACCAGAAATCATGCGCGCTCCCACAGCCAGCAAAAAGCACTAAGATCACATTAAATGCGGTTTTGTAGCAGATTTGATAATTCAAACATTTTTGCTGGATAAATGACTAGCTCAGGGATTTTAAAGTTTACTCAATGTTAGTAGCTGACAAGCATCTGCGACATTGCGATTTCAAAGTTTTGGGAATTGGAAAATGCAAACTATCTTCAAAAATCACAAAGCTCTGAAAGTGCGATCAGCGCAATTGCTACTGAGCGAAAACCTCAAATAGAAAAAATTAGAAATTTCGGTCCTAAACCGTCTATATCAGGCCGTGCTAAATGAATCAAGAGATGGATTAAACGGTAAATCAGAAGTGGGAAAGAGGATGTGGTTAGGGTAACTCTTCTGGCCTTTAAGTACCTGTTAGTTATAACTAAAAAAATAATCTGCGACACATTCAAAAAAAAGCCTAACATAACTAACCCCAAATGCGTATTCCAGTAAATTTCTGAAGCAGTTTCATTGACGAGGATACCATCATTCTCTTTGCGATCTTCAGGAGAGAATTCTCTACCACGTCGATAATTATTCCCAGAGCAGCAATATTGTCTCACACCACGTGGAGGTTTGGGTACTCGCCGTCTGGGCATGGTTCCATAAAGTTCCTCATAGTCGACATTCTCTTCCAAAGTACCATCATCTACGTTTGCTTCCATCCGCCCTCTGTGTCTGCGTCGAGGCATGGAACTGTAGTAGTCTTGGGCGTTGCAGTGCGAGCACTGGAAGCAGCAACTCTCGGGGCGATAGTGGATTCGGGCAGATTGTACAGGCTGCTCATAATTGAGGCGGTGGTAGTGTCGACGACGTGAGACCGAGCGATGCTCCTCGGGATCAATTTCTTCATTCGGCGATGAGGGTGAGGAGGTGGAGCAAGAGCTGCGTCGACGATTCATCCGAGGAGTCGGGATTTCTTCTGACTGAGGACTTTTTACAGGAGAAGAGCAGTGAATGGGGGATTCTCGGGTTGCCTTAAAGGAATGAATGGAAGTATAGATTTTTAACTAAGTGTTTGAATTATGCAGGCAATATAAGATTTTCCATAAGGTCAGTAATACCACACTTTTATCGCACTTTTTCTCGTTCATACTGCCTACGAGTACGTTAACTGAGACGGAACTCACATAGTCTAAGGTTATGGCCTACATTGATCAGGATTACCGGTATGTCAGTTACTGCATATTCTGAAACATCTAGCGAGATTCCTTTCTAAAATGCCCTTAGACAAAATGTGGTCTTAAGTGTCAAGTGGAAAGCTATGGCAGAATTAGCCTCTCTTCCCGATATCACAAAAATCAGTAGTGCATAAAATGCAAAAGTTGTAATGCAAATAGAAAAAGAACAGAGGACTGGCTTTTTGGAACGTCTTGATGGTAGGAAGTAAAATCTAAACAGACGTAATTAGCTCAGGACTTTATCACGCAACTTTCCCACCACCAGATCATCTACTACACTAGTAGATAAACGACTAATAAACGTTTCGTGCTCTCATTAAGTATTTTGAAACTACGTCAATTGAGTGAATAAAAGGTGAGAATTTGAAATGATTCGTAAATCTTACCCCATTAGACGACATTTCAGCTTGATCGGGCACGCAACTGGATGAAAAGTCTTCCATATCAGTGGTTTCTACATCCGGCACCGAAGAACTTGAATAATTTTGCTCAGATTTTTCCTTCACCACGCACTCCCCTTCTGCTTCTTCCTCGGCAGAATCTTTAGGAGGCAGATCACTTTGACTCACTGTGAAGTCGTCGTTATACTTTTGTGAGTTTCCGCTTTCTTCCTCTTCAGCAAGAGATGGGCCTTCGTAGTTAGCACCTTGGCGACGACGCTTCTGTAAGGTAATGCACATACACCACGCACATACACACACACGTGTGCACATGATTTAATCACATGCCACCTTCAGCCGGGAGCCAATCACATTTGGCTCCATGTCTGAGAGCATATGCTAAAACATGAGTAGGATCCGGTTTATTCGCGAGCATCCGAATATGTAAGTATTCGTTATAATCAATTTTAAAAGGTAGGAAATATACCCAGTGGCATCTATTTTGGGGAGACAGCGTTTCTGACTCAAACAACATGCGTCCACCTGATGCTTGATGATTAATCTGAAGCTGAACCACCAAAACACCTCATTTGTTCATTAGATTTACTAGAGCTAGAATTCCGGCGTTTGAAAATGTAAAAGTGGCTCTGAAAGCACCAAAAGAGGAGTAATATATCGATTCATTTAAACTCTATATCAGTATGAACAATATGCCAGGCAAAAAATTGGACTTTAAAAAGTAGACAGGAACGGAGAGAAGGATCATACCTGAGAAGAATGAAGGAGGGCCAAAAAAGCGGCTTGATTACGATGGGCGGCAACCTTGTCACCCTGCCGGAGCGCTCGCTGCCGGTTGGCCTCGATGGTGCGACGTTGCTGGTCCAACGAGAGCCGCAGCGCCGCCGAGCCCTTACCAGTCTCCGTCGGCGTTGCCGCCACCGAATGACTTCGCTTCTCCTCACCCTGTCGAGCCCTCTCCGTCCAACTTGTTTGAGTTAAAAGACACACGTGTAATCATTCACCGATTACCAATGGGAGCTTTATAACAGCAATGATTCTACTTAATCTTTTAGTTCTCCAAAGTATAACGCTCAACAAATGTCATACGTTTCCGACGCAACCTTACTGAGTATGACACTTAAGACGAAAAACGATGTCCCTTTCGCATCACATGGAATGTGATTCACACGTATCGGTATTCGTTAAAGCCTGCATTGAATGGGATTTTCAGCAAAATACATCGCTTAATCAAACCTCGTTTCTGTGTAGTTGACTTAATTGCGAATGTCCACACAGGTCCCCAGCGTCTTCTTTGAGCTTCTCAGGTACAAAATTGGGGGTGAAATTACTTTAGCTAAAAAATAGTGTTGGTGCTAAAAACATCCAAAATGAAAGAATGCAAATGTCAATCTCCGGATTCCTCGTGCCTCACATTGCATTAGTGAATTTCAAGAATATCAAGCTTGAACAAACAAATCACCACTATTTACCATTCAGAAGCGTCATACAAATATTGAACAGCCACAGTACTGCTACGAATAAATGTTTTCATTCTTGAACTGCGCAGAAATAATTAGGCATATTCCTTATCAAAACTAACATTTGCTCAAGTAGCCTTCGTTTAGAACTATGTACGATAGTTTGAGATTATTACAGATACCACTTTCTAAGTTTACTTTGGCATAGAAAGATTCGTGGTAGTCATTAGCCTTATTCAAGTGTTCTCAGTGGTCTCAGAGATTGCTTACATGGCTGACGATATCACTTAGCAATAAATATAAAATATTCTTTAAAATCTAGTTAGATCGTGCTGCTCCGAGCTCAAAGAAACGGAAAAGATCATATTACTATCAGTTTTGACCAATCTTTATAAAGTGGAAAAAAATTATCATAGCCTAGTTGCTTACATACATTTGTAGAGACACCTCCACCTTAGGACAGCTAAGATTAGCAGTTGAAATTCTCACAAATAAAAAGAAGCGTCCACCAAAAGTCAGTTTACCTACTTTCCCAAGTGGTTTTTAGGTAATTTTACAGCCCTAACAATTTTAGGATATTGTTTTAGGATTTCCATGATAAACACTCAGTTGCAAGGTAAAGCGATTGAAGAGGAAGATGAAAGGTTTTCAAAAAATACTGTCTTGGCAACATAGTGGATCAAAGTACTTTTCAAATAAACCAGTTTCGCTGATATTCCGAGAACCTAACTAGAATAATTCACAAGACGATTCTGTGAAGGCAGCAGTAATAAATTGAATAATGAAAAAGAAGTTTGTGCAATCAGCGCATGTCAAAGTTCAAATAGATAGGAGTTCAAAATATGGGATTTAGTTAGTTGAATTGTTTAAACTAAAAATTTACTTTGTTTTTCCTGCACGCTTACAGTTCCGAGATGTCGCCACGCTTTTCTGTGAAGTAAGGAGTTGGGTGGCGGATGCGGTCATCTGAGTTAGCAACGTCAGCGTGGTTTCTTCTGCTGTGGAAGAATGAATGATGCAGATACGGAGATACTTTGAAATAAACGAACTTCTTTTTTGGCATTTTAGAGAGCTTTTACAAAATTGCATCAGTGGGATTGCGAATTGCCATGGGAGCATAAAAAATGAGCTCCATTAATAACCTTAGCGAGTGCGATAGATGAAACATCCAAAAGCAAAGAATTAACTCGTATCGTTAAAATTATTAGTCTGAAGCGAGAACGAGTTTACTTATAAAACTTCAATGAAATACAAACGTAGGCAACGTGTCCTTTGCACTAAGTTTTTGGACTAATTAAGATAATAGAAACGCATTGGAAAATAAATCTATTCTGGAATGAAGTCGTTTCCAGGTTTGCTCGTAGTTTTTCGCCAGTTAATGCAAATTTAAATGCGTGATTAATTCAGCATTGTGATAAGTGGAAGAAATATTCATTTTTAGACATCCTTTGACCACCGCATTTGTTGAAAAGACTAGAACCCACAAGCGCATAAAATGACCAATTGGTGTTATTGACAAGGAACAACGCTTTAATGTAATCTTTAAAAGGACATAATATTTCTAAAGCATATTATTAAGTCATTCTTATGATTGCGTCAAGGTAGCCATTAAGGTGGGTTTTAACGGATATCCAAAATCACCCTCCAAAAGTGACTGGCATACCTGTTTCAAGAGTGTTGGAACCGGGAGAATCATCAATTCGGGGTGAATTCTAAAATGAAGACGTCGCTTATCTGATTAAATTCGCTTGATTGAATTAATCGAGAAATGCGTACATCATACATACATACATGCAGACGGGAAGTCGTTTAGCAGTAATTTTGTCTAAGTTATCTGTACTCTTACAGCAACTATGTTATGCATTGCCTACAGTCGGGTGAATATTTAAATTTCTTCCCACAAATTCCCATATTTTTCGCACGCGGGCAATTTACACATATACATCGTATTGACTCGGGAATTTAACTCTGCTATTCAACGTTGAAAAACAGAAAAATTTTAACTTTAGAAATCATTAAAAACGCAAAAGAAATAAACTAATCCTCATAAAATATTTATTTAAGTGCGTAGTCTCACCATTTTGAATGCAACGCAGGCGGGGGACCGACGAAGGGAAGCAGTGAAAACAGCCTTGCCACTCTTGTTCAAAAAGAATGCATTCATGTTTGTACTTCCTGCGTTTGTTCGCTTCAGGGGAGGAGAGAGATTGGGAAATACTTTGATTTTCTGTGCATCACTGGAGCCGATGCCGTCGCCGCTGGGTGAGTCGACAACGGCTAAGGCTGCGGTACAGGCCAGCTCACTTAGAAGAACGTCCTCCTGTTGTTGCTTTTCGGTCGACTTGCTGCCCTCGGATGTGTCAGAGGTTGTGCTGCTGACCAACTGCTCCACCGTATTGAGATCAACGAGTGCAGCTGGAATATTGTCTGGGTTCGCTGGTCGCGCTTTCTTTGCGAAGCCACCAGATGAACGGACAAGAATCTGTAGAGCAACTAAATAACGAATCAATCGTTTTAAATATGAATTAGAACCAGAATGAGCACTGAATCATCCGGGAAAGTGGAGTAACTTGTAATTAATAAATGCCATTACTTTTTATTGCAATGCAATTTCTGATTAGCGTAGTTCTTGAAAAAACTTGTGAATACAAATAATTTCCGGGGGAAGCTTCAGTGCTCTAAACAATATGGGAGGCGGACAAATATAAAAACCCGTAAAGACCATTCCCGTAGATAGTGAAAGACTAGAATTATGATTTACCACCCACACGAAACCAACCTCATAGGTGCCATTGAAAGCGACAAATGGAACTTACTAATCGGGTAGGTATAACTATAAAGTAGGAATTTTATTGTTTTAATTAAAAAGAAAGGGTTGGGACTACTTATTCGAATTTCCTCCTCTATGGGTACTCTGATGCAAGGACTTAAGGAGCCGCGCATGAAGCACATTGACAAGTTTAATTCACCTGACAACTTGATCAAATAAGGACTGCATCAACCGCTGTTAAGGCGATAATCCAAAAAAAGATGTTATCAATGTCATTGACAATAATAAACAAACTCCAATTTTCCATAATATCGCCGTACACCATCATTCTATCTTCAAAGCATCGGAGGACAATATGCTTTAGACATCATGCTTAGGACTGTGACAAAATACTTCTAAGGCGGTTGAGGTGAAGTCAAATGTAAAGTTATATAATAAATCCTTACTGCTGTTTTTTAGAGCAGTCTCACTGGGCGACGGAACCTCTTGAGAAGTGGGATGAGAGTTAATGCGCTCAAGCTGACCTAGTGCAGGTCTTGACCATTTAGACCCCGTAAACCAATGGAAGAGGGCCGCACTCGAACAGAGGGCTGATAAATCAGAGAAAACCACGCCCGTACTACCAACAAAGTGCGGCAAAGCGCAGAGGGCAGCAGTGATCAGGCTGATGTGAGGCGGATCTGGTTTGCCACCACTCCCCTTCAACGGCGAAAATGTTTGCAGTTCATGATCGTAGCAAAAAAAAAACCAAATTTCGCCAAAAAAGGGTTAACTACTTTGCTGAAAATGGAGCGAATAAAAAAAACTACCTTGAAAAGGTTGACTGTTTGAAATAAGATGCTACCTTTTTCTCCTCTAAAATGCCTCCGAGGGTGGCAAAGAGGCGCGGTGCATTCAACTGGTCGTCCTCTAGCATTGGATCCCCTTTCATTGGTTCATTCGTCGCGGACATTGCAGCTAATTGCGCATCCAGGCAAGGAGCTATGAATGTTTGAGAGGAGCCAATCACAGGATGAAGCTGTCGCTTGCAAGATCAGGGTAAATGTGTGGATTACGCATCCCACCGCACCACGGGGCTTAGCGCTCTACGTTCTAATCCGTGCGCTTGTGCAACAAATTCACGGAAAGTGATTTTAAGGCATCCAATTTACCGACCATATTATGTAATATAGGCATCTACCATAGTTCGGTTTGGCAATGAAATACGAATGAGTTAAGTGACCTCTCGATTGACATGCAATAACTAAGGCAACGATCCACTTTAATGTAAAACACCTCGACTACCATTGCAAACAGAGGCAGTGGGAGTCGAAGATGCAGGATTGAATTTTAGTGTAAGGTGGGAACTACTGTTAAGTTAATAAGTACCTGTATCTAACAACGGCCTGGAACGCGTCGGCACCACTTTTCCGATGTTGGAGCGATAGTAGTATGCTGCACACGAGAGCAACGATATGAAGCCAAGCCCTCGAATAAGCACTCCATGGTCGATCCCCCTGACCTTTTGAGGACAACCAAGGGGATCGTGTGGGGTACATTTGCAGTGAATGAAAGTTGGTCATTTACTTTTTAGTGAATTCTTAAAAAGTAATGCTCATAATATATCACATAAATTAAAAATCAAATGCAAGAGAAGGAAAGATGACATTGACTGTCCAAGTGGTGAATTCAATTGTACGACCAATTTGTGCGTAAAAAAGGCGTTCCCAATTTAGTCAGAGACACATCGTGTCACTTTTCAGAATTCAGATTCATGATCCCATTTTTTTCTGTTTCAGGATAATATAGGGTGATAAATAAGAGATTTATTGCAAGAAATATACCCCATCAAATATATTTAGTTGTATAATATGAATTAGTGATCAAATAAAGAATGAAATGTAACTTTTCTCAGCGTCAGAGTTGAATTTACACATTCCTACAACATCGCTTAGCACAATAAAGATGAATAAGTAGATAAATTGATGATGACTGATAGGTGGGTGGGTAGATAGATAGAAGGAGGGATAGACAGGTAGAGGTATATGGACGATGAGAGTTAATGAAATTCAATTGTAATTACTTTCTGAGTTCTATCAAACGCAAATGAACTATCACATATCCGCGATTGCAAGCTCTTTGGCCATTGTGGGTGTCCATTTACTAAATTAGGGATAAATAAAGGCGCTCGGATGAGTTCATTGGGTGCTGATGGGTGAACTGAGGAGAAATGAGAGGAACCTCATCATTACAAAGACTTTACGCCTCATATGGGTAGAGGAGAAGGAAATTGGGGCTTTGATTGACGTCTTTAAACCGGAGACGTTTATTTGAGCAAGATGACAGCAAAACAGACGTTTAAACTTTAGTTCGACACATTTCATAGCGAGAAAAAGTGTATTATATGGGTCATCTATCTTACTGGGAGGAATAAGATACAGACCAAGCCAGTAAAATAAACTTATCAAAGTGATAAACGTTAGTAAGTATTGAGACGTGTGATGCTAAATAGCTTGAAATGCATTTAAATAATAAAGCGCAAAGAATTACACACAATATTTAAGGTCTGAGTTATTTACGATGCAAGTGCACCAAGTTTTGATGACAAAATTTTAAACTGATGTGAATAAACGAGTGTTAGTTAAAACTCCGGCGATATCAAGCGGTAGAGGGATCAATCACGAAAGGCAACTAAGTAGGCAGAAAATTGTAGAGTTCGCTTGATATTCGGTATCGAAATACACCGGCTTAGTATGCACTGCAATGTACAACTTTTGCCCAGTATTTATCTTTGTTTTAATAAAAGTGAATTCAATACATTGCCTAGTTTGAGGAACCGTTTTGACAGATCCATACATAGAGTTCAAATCCACTGAGATGCAAGAGCTATTTAGCTATTTTGCATTGAAAGTATTTTCAGATAAACTCGTTTAAAACGAAAGAGATGATCAAATCATTATACCTGTCTATTCTGCAGCAACTCCGGTATCACAATCCATGCAACTGATAGTAACCATAAGTGGATGTGATGACTGTATAGTTCCACTATCTCAGCTGAGCATGACTCGATGGGCTGGGAACTGGACAAATCAACGACGTTTTTCAACTGTGGATGCATCTCAATGAGACGTCTGAAAGTGATGCAAGTATTAAATTAGGAAGGGAATGGGTATGAGCATGAATACAGCTTTGGCTTACCGTATCTCTCCCTCCAAACTCACAGGAGCAGCCAACTTCGTAATGCTCAGCCTCATTAAGCATTCAATAAGGGCTACATGTGTCGCCTGAAAGGGGAATGCAGGGTGGGTTTAAGATTCCCAATTACTTCGGATTACAACGAGTACATCAATTTGATGTCAATGGACCAGAAAATGGGGCGTAGTGGAAACAGAAAAAAAAAACAAGATAAACAACTCATTTGCATGCTTCACAGAGCTAGAGATTCCCCCAAAAACCAGAAATTGATTGTGAATCTGCATATATGGTATTCTGCACAATCAACGAAAAAATTAAACCACTTTTAAAACTAGTTCAAATTTGTTTAAAGTCAAATGTCATTGAGTAAATTTCCCTCAAAACGCGCGATTTTAGGGGCCAAGTAGTATCAAAAACTACACCTTACAATGATAGAATGAGCGTGAATATGGTTATGTGCATTGTTGTTTGCACAGCAACAGTCGCTTAAAAAAGGGAAGCTCTACTCCAAACGAAATGGTATACTCATTTAAATGAAATGAGTCAGTAACCTAAGTTGGAAAATTCCCTATTTAAATGTAAAAAGTGCAGCTCGATGTAAGTACATGCCACCTCAGATTTGTCCATCACATGGAATGTTTCCTATTGGGAATACCGTCAACTTCGAATGAACTTAAGATACAACAAAATAGAAAGTCGCGGCCATTGAAATTAGGGGAAGTTGAAAAAAAGACGGGGGATTCACATTGTTCCATATTGAGATAAAGTATCCCAGTACCATTAAAGACTATGCACAGTTCAGGCTTGCTATATGCAAGATTCAGTCGCCGCAAAAATAAGGACCATAGATTTCGTGAAAATTTGCATATGCACTACTATCAACCGTGGATGTGGAGTGGCACGTTGTAGGAATGAACCACTAAAGAGGAGCTCAGGCTGCGTTTGCCTAGGTGGAAGCACCTAGATAAGATTTAATAACAAAAACACATACTTAAATTTATGAAAGGAATAAACAACATTGAATAGTCGAGAAAGACGATAAATTGGATGATAATATAGGTGAACGCAAATGGAGTCAGGAGAATAAACATGCCTGGTATTAGTTTTGACTAGTAGCCGATAGCCACTGTAGTAACTCGGCTGTTATTGTATTCGTCAGTTACAGTGGTGCTCGTTCCTCAGTACACGTCCCCCCTTTTGAAGGTAAACAGGTGATGGATTAGTTTTTGTGTTTACTTAAATGTAATGAGGCCTTTAAAACCACAAACTACTGAAAAAACGGATGAAAAAAATTTCTTTTAGGTGACTTTTGCCATTTACTAGCCGAATTCCTTAAAAGTTCGGACACAATATTAAATGCCAAAAACCCTCCAACCAAAAATAGGAAGCAGATGACTGGAGTAATTGAAAGAATCCATTTAATGTAGAGCATTTGATTCAGTTTTTAGGCATGTGAACGGACCCTTTAAGGCGAACTCATTAAACACTTAGAGGGGGAATAGCCAACTGCTATAGTATACCAAAAAGCATTTAAGTGGCACTGATATGAACTACGAATGCGAATGGGTCCTAGTGATGCCCTAACGGTGTTTCATGAATGCCATTCTAAAATACGATAGGTTATAGAACAAACAGAAGACTCTCGGCTAAAGTGCTACCGAGCATCAGTTGCAATTCAAAAGGAGGAACTTTGGAGTCTATTGGGATGCAAGGATCCACTTTCCACTGTTAATGAAAAGTTGGGGTAGAAGCGACACACAAAAGAGGGCTCAGATACGAAGGCATGTTCCCATACATTATACTTATGACATCGAGCATTTGGTGCATTTCGAACTAATATTCCCCGATTAATGTGAGAACCTCAGTGAATTGCTTCATTGCCTTCATTTCAATTTCATTTATTTAAGAATAATTTATGTCGTAGCTTGTGATTTATGACCTGCTTGGTTTGTGTTAATTTTCTCAATCAGAGGTAGAAATAAAAATGAGTAATCCTTTCCGACCATTTTATTGGGACTCGACTAATTCTCAGACAGGAAGGAATGAAGCTATCTCGTATAATTTGGCATTTCCTAAATACTGAAGTGATCCAATCTACCACATGAACTAAGAGACACCGCCTCTTGTGCCTTAATCGAACGAAAAATGTCGAAGGGAGAATTCATGAAAACAAAGGAAATGAATAGATGTCCTATGTGAAGTGAGTAAACCTATGTATGAAATTGCGGGATGAAAAGGAATAGCATATCACCCTTAATACTATAATTGTTGTTTTTTGGCGAAAAATAAAAGAAATATTACGAAGATGCGCGTACCAATTGTGAAAAGCATGCACAGTAGTCCTAGAGCGCCGTCTACGTGACGAGGGATAGCTAGCAAAGAGATCGGTTCAGTTCACTAAAACAGTACTTTTTTTGAGAAGAAAATATTATCTCTGGAATCATGACATTCAACCGTACTGGTTGAGGAGTTCATTTTATTCTTTAACAAACTAAAGGTTCCCAAAAAATGCTGAAGTAGGAAGTTTACGCGTTAGCTAGAATGCCAATCCATCCGATTAGTCACTCGGTGTGTTCCAGTAGTGATCGCAACAGAGGTATATGCATTAGGTGAAACTGACGTCTGCCAACGTTATTTCTCGGCTATCTGACTTCCAGCAGCCTCTTTTCTAAGCCACCTGGCGCAGAGATTTAACGAATCTGGAACCAAATTCTAACTTAATTTGCTAAACGCTTAAGGAATATGGGAAAGTGTAGTTGTACCTAAAGCATAAATGATTGATTGCCAAAGGGTTGCCATTTGTTTCATGGGCCATGGGTTCACCATCGAATGTGAGTTTTTTGTTCGAAGATTCAGGAAAAATTTAGCAATGGACACACTCAAGCTATTCTCACAAAACTTTTATCAACAATGCATATAAAAAAGTACTGAAACCATTTACTAATTCACTCTTAAATCAGTTTTAAGGAGGAAAGTTTACCTACTGTTTTTTGAAAAGTGGGCAAAGTTAATGCGAATTGTACAAAATAGCAGATAAGCATGACTATGCCAGAGTAAAAGCAGTAGAAAAGTGACAAGATTAAAGCTTTCTCTCGGGTGCGGAAACCACCGACGATGGCATTGACTCATTTTACGGCGAAGAGTAGAAAGCTGTGCGTGCGAACGCTTGATTCAGATGGAATCGCACTTGTTAGAAATAATAACAACCAAGCACAAAACAAAGCATAAGTGTTTGTTATCCAAATAAACTAAAACAAATTTGAATCAGGCGGTAAGATTTGCGATTTCCTTTATTGAATTCTAGAAAGCGTGAATTTGTCAATTCAATGAAGGGATACATCTTCAAATGTAAAAAGTTCCATAGAAGACATTCTATGCCTAAAAACGGAAATTTCAGAAGGATACCCTTTCAAATGAGCGCATTAAGTTGTGGGAACACATGACTTCGGTAATAAATTCGCTCAGCGTTTCACAGAAAGCGGGATTCCGGCTTTCGAATCTATCAGTAGCGAGATTGTGTGTGCAATGTAATTGAAGTTCAGACGCATTTTCATGCACCTATCTTATCATATGGGTAGGAATCCCAAATCAAGATATATCATAATCTAAAATAGTCAAATTCTTCATCGATTCCAAGTGGTAGATCAGCTATATTGAAAATTTAACACAGAAAATCGTTCCTTAAGGCGGATTATTATTGATACGGTGACAACAAAAGTCGTTATTTATGCGGAGATATGCATTTCCTTTGGATTTTCTGAGTATAGGGATAGCATAAAGGGGACAATCATACAGGAAGGTTAGTTTGGACGACCGTATCTGCGCAAGCGCGCGACCAAGTGAACACACGCGCGCACCGCTGCCACGCGGGTTATTGATCAACGCCTATTGCGCCAAGTCAGGCATCTTAGCTGGCGCATTCAGTGAAAGCGCCTAGGGTCGCTATAGTGATTTGCCTTGTGGTCGATCAGCATGTGCCCCCCAGGTTCGACTCCATTTAGCATATTTCCATTAACACTAGCAATATTTACCGTTTCACGCAGTGTAGATACTGAAATATTACTTAGCGCCTTCGATTAGGACCGATAGCTTCAAACCTTTTAACCATGTATAAGGCACAAAGGGGCGTTTGAGGGGCTGCAGTATGACTGATTCAATGGGCACGTCATAACTAAAAAGATCATTCGCAAGCATAACTAGCAGTAACATCAACAAAACCTGGCATATACATACCCAAGTACATAAAACTAACCACAAGATCTGAAGGGAAATACCATGTAGATGCTTCACAGATAATTTCATTTTAGCATGGCTATGCATGATGGAGCCAGAATAATTGAACCACTAAATTCTCACCGTCAATATTGGCCGAGCTACTTGATGAGTGCTTCCTAAATAATACCCATGCACTATACCGAATGCTCTTTAGTTAAATGGGGATGCATCTGAATTCTTAAGCCATATTGTGGAGGCCATATTTTTCAATTATGAAATGTAAGAACAAGGGAAATTAGGTGAAACTACCAAAGATGGCACTAACGCTTCTAAAAACAAAGAAAAGTCACTACATTTGTCAATTTAAATTCTTAAACTTACCTGACAAAATTCATTTTTGTTCGCAGCCTCCTCCAGTGTACCACACAATCTCTTAACATCTGGCAAACAACCGACATTATTAACCCGTAGTTGTTCATAGATCGCCGTAAAAGCTGGGACGTTAGCATTAGATGTCAATAAGCATGTAAAATTTGAAATAAATTACAGTATAGCCAACAACCTTGGCTAAGTATACCAGGAAAATACAATGTGTGCATGACCAGGCTACAGGATACATTACTCCGCCTAGTAAGCTCATTTCAATAGTCTTAAAAATCAAAAACAAAAAAACAAAATTTCTCTCTCAGTCAAGCCATTAAGAAATACTCAAATGCATAAAACTGCTACCAGTATACAAATCTTGAAAAATGCAAAACGTACACCGCCACGCAGTCCTTTCTGAGTGAAATATATTCGAGAGTGCAGCAGCATACAATTGACAGCTGATGAGACTCGTTTTAAGCTGGGGTTTGAGGCAATTCTATGACGTGTCATGATTAACAAGATGACACTAACAGATCCTCTATCAAACAGGTATTTACAAACCGACGATGCATTTATAGGAACAGCGCAGCCAACAATCCAACATAATGCAGGCAAATCAGATAATTTTGAAGGATCCATGACCACTTGTAAGCAAAGACCACCAACCCCCAACGTGACTGGGGCGTCCGAAATAGGCGGTGCACAGTGCAACCTCAAATAAATCCTAAATTTAAAAATTAAAAGCAGATCAAAGTGAAACAGCATTCCGCCTCCAAAAAAATATGAATTTACGACTTGTATCCTATTTTTAATAGAAATTGCACAAAGAAATGTCGGTGTACTAAAGAGCTGTTTACAAAAGTTTAAAAATTTGTAATTAATTTGTTATTATTTTTAAGGTCTTTTTACTGCACTGAACTAAATTGAATTCACAGCACAGTGTTTTGCCATTTTGCTTAACTGCAGAGGCTACTGAGTCTGTGCAGGTAGGCCGCTTGCTGTGCAGCTTCGCCCTTGGACCAAGCTTGTAATCTTTCAGCTCTTCTGTGTGTTATTAATACACGTTCCTTTCAATAAAAGTCTCATTGTGGCATCTGGCAAAGCCCAGGTTGCCACAACATATGGACACCGAATGATACCAAATACTGTGTAATACGTTGGGTAACTCCCTGTTTTGGTGAAGAGCCGCTTTGAAATTTGGCATTGTGCTACGCCGGTTGGCAGGCCTTCGGGCCGCGCCGGTAGCCCTATAACATTCTGTATGCTAATGTTTATGCTCTATCCTAGTGTTATGTCTTCCTTCGTCTTCAGGAAGGTCTCGGGTCCCGTTGAATACCTACAACTGTTGCGAGGCTTCTCACGTATTTGCATACTTATAGACAATGCAGATGTATAAACTTAATCAGTTCGAACATACACCTACTCGACCCCATCGTTTAGGCAACAAGGGTTTGTGTTTGATGGGTCCGTGTTTAATTAGGCAAGTATGTCTCTCTCTTTGTGGCTGCACTTCCGCTGTGTGGCACGGCCTTTGATGCAGGCTTGTAATTCCCCAATCCTCTTGTGCGTTATTAATGCTATGGATTTATTATTTCTCTCTTCCACGTATGATTTTAATACCCCTGGAGAGAAAAGGCCGAGTGGAGGAGGACATCTCTTATTCGGGAAGCACTTGGACTTGCTCCTTGTAATAGATCAGTAAGTACTCCTGCTGCAAATTTTCCGATCCACTTTTTCCAAGCATACACCAATTAGGTGCTGGAGAAAAGACTGACAATGTAGATGACATTCTTTGGTAACTTGTAAAGACTGAGAAAGCTGTTCTGTGTTGCGTTGCTGTGCAGGGGCTCATTCTGATTTATTACTAGTAGGCTAAATAACCGTAATATTTTTGACTGTAAACCTTCCAGTCAAGGCTATCCCAAATGGTAGAAATTTCAAAAGACCCTCATGTTCAAGGTTTTTTCGATATTCGAAAATTTTGCTGAAATTCATTGTGTGATTGGAAGCATAATCATATTGATGATGTTTTCTAAGCAAAGAAGTGCCATTGTATTAAGTGCCTTACGTTCGGTGGAATCTTTGTTTTTGAATGGAATGTAGTGGCAGATTTGAGATGGGACTTTTTTAAACACACGTGGTCAATCAGGCGGTAATTATTAGTTTCAGAAAAATGCACAC